ATACAGACCGACCTAGCTCGGTTAATAAGATGTTTATTATATGGCTGTGTCTTATATGCCAATTTTTTATATTCTTTGTACCTTTTTTCTCTAGACCGGTCTAGATGCCGGTCAAGATGGGAAAATCTAGACCGCTTTCAATATTGATTTCAGCCAATCAAATTCGTGAATTCGGTAGTTCCCAGTCCTTGTGAGACACAGCGATATAATAATTCTGTATAACTAAACAACAGTTAGAAAGGCTATTAAGATTTTTTTATTCGAGACAACGTCACTAAAAGCATGCATTTACATATAACTAAAAGAAGTTATTCGAAGTTGATTTTATGTCTGTTTAAGCAGTTATTTAGAAGACTCTTGTTTAACTCTACTGCCAGAGATGTTTGGAACAAATTTCTTGTTTCCAGTAAATGTGTAGTTCGCAATACAGTTCATATCGGTGACGTATACATCATTTAGCCCTTTCAGCCAACTAAAACATGACTGAAGAATTCTGCCAAAAGGCGATATTACACACAGAATACTGAATAGGATGCAGCTTGCAGCTAAGAAGTTTTCCAGAAGACCTCGCCTTGAAAGGCTCTAAGGCAAATATTAGCGCTTTGAATTGCAAGATAACCCCAACAGACAACTTTTTAACCACCGATGAAAAGGTAACTTAAAGATCTCTATGATGAGTCTATGTGGTGAAGGATACCCTTAAGAAGGGATTAGAATCAGAGGCTAGGCCTCAGCAATGAATATCAACTGTAAGTGCAAGCATTTCCGCGTTCCCGTCGTACTTTCCTATCTTAACGCAAATGATTGACTACTTATTTCAACTTACAAGTTAGTTCTTTCATCGTACACAACCACAGGATCATGAGCTGGCCCATTGTCCTGCCCGCCTGATTGATTTTCCCGTGGAGTGCTGCCCACCTTGTGAAACGTCTTCTTGCTTTTCTCCGGCTTCGTAAACGAATCCGTCAATCCACCAGAAGCCTGTACGGTAGACTGGCTGCTCTCAGAGTTACTACGTGACGGTGGTCCTTTATTACGGTATTTCTTTTTCTTGCTTAAGTCAGGTTTGGCATACAACTCGTCAAGATTGGGAGGGGCTATGTCCAATGCCGATTTCTTACCGCTGGCGGAGGCAAGACTCCTGTCAAGCTCCTCGTCTGAATCGTAACCCCCGTTCTCTATTCCTGCAAGATCCCTGTTGGGAAAACCATTTCGACTCCCTTCTCCGAGATCCACTCCTTCTCGCTCAGTCGCCAGGTTGTAACCCTTATTTGTGAATGACTTGCGACTTCCAGGAGAGTCAGAACCCCGCTCGCTAAAGGAGAGTGAGCGAAATGGGAGGGGGGGAGGGGGCCCAAAGCTGGAAACTCCACCACCAAGTGCCTCGACGGTAGAATAACCGTCTTGGCTTATCATGGAGTCCACATGTGGTCGTGCGCCCACCAGCCGCGGGCGATCTGATGCACGCGATGAGGAACGCTGTGGAGAGCAAAGATCTGGCTCGGCGTAATCCGGTATCGGTGGTGGCGAAGGCAACGAGATGGTGCTGCCAGCCCAATCGGAGTCAAAGGAATCGCTTGAGTTGTCGGCGTCTGCTCCACTCGGCTCTTCAGTCACATCAAGAACGGCGTTACCAGGGAAACCAGCCATTTTGGACCTAAATAAGGGATAAAGGCAAATTAAGTTGCGTAGAAAGCTTCAGCATCATTGAGTCCAAATGAAGTGAACGAAATTCGAGCGTAGTTATATCAAACGGTAAAGGAAAATTTCAAATTGAACCCAACATTCAAATTCCGTTTGACTTTGTTGTTGGCTAATAGGTTTACTTCTATTTTCCCTTGTTATAAAGATCTTTATTGCTTTATTTTGTATTCGGTTCACTGACTACTCCTCTCGAAATGCCACAAGCAACCATATCACTAAGAAGAAGGTCTCGGTTGTATCATCAATTCCTTCAAGAATACCTCAATCGCCTTTTAGAAGAAAGGAGGTTACACATGTTCAAGACTGTAATTCCATAGCAGATTAACACATTTCATAGTCAATGATGTTCAACTTTACCCCTTGGAGTTTGTAAAACGCCAATGTTGTAACTGATTTATTTTTGAAGAGATATTTTATTTGGACTTAAAGTTTACATTTTACTTCGTTAAAATATCACTGGCAGCATCATTATACCAAAGAATGGGTCAAAATTTATCGCGTTACAACTAGTGTTAAAAAAAAACCGAATCAATTAGTTAAAAACTAATACCATCGTTCGTTACATGATGTTAGGCTCTTTCGGCTGGTTACCTAAACAAAGTTTAGCCGTGGTTTAACCGCGCTCTAAGCCATCTTCAATTTAACCGAACCTTTAATCTGAACACCTATTTTTGCGAACTGTGTCAAGAGGGGCGAACGCTTAGAGAGGAAAGATATTAATTGAATTTAATCAACCCTCCTAGAGAAAATCAATGAGGCCTTCTGCTTCCGTTAAACCGCGGTCTGGGTTAGACCTCGTGCAAATAACCGGCCCTTTCGGTTTCCCAGTCAATGCAGATGACTAAAAGAATGTATCTTTAATGACTTCATTGAGCCTTGTTCTTCATATCAGTCGGCATAGTTTATAGATTAAGTTACAATTACCGTTTATGTTGTTCGAGGAACGCAAAAGGATCCCACCATCCTGTAGTGACCTGTGCCATCTATAGCACTTCACAATCAACGGAAAAAAATTGTCAGCTAAGTTTAAGTTATGAATAAAGTTTACAAAGGGAAAAGTAAGTATACAAAGAAACTATTAAGGATTTTAAAACTAGATAAAAATTAAGACTTTTCTCTGAATTAACACATCAATCGCCTTGCTAAAAATAAAAAGCGTACCTACTTATTTTAGTGTTTATCTTTCTTGAGAAACATATTAGTGCGAGGGGAAAATGGAATTTTACTTAATTTAGAAGGCAAATAGTCTGTCATTTTTTTTTTTTTTTACTACTAAGTAACCCATTACACCTTTCAATGTCAGAACAATTTACAAGTTTTAAAAATAACAGGAAACTTGCTTTTCCGCTATGACCATGCCCCGCGATGCACAGTTGTGCTGTTGTTTTTACTCTCATTACATTTTTGAGCAATGTAATAATATACGTTAATTGAGGCTCCCTCTTAGGGGCTTATCAGCCACAATGTAGACTGACTAAGTGCTTAAAAATCCCCACTGGCAGGAGGCAAACCAGTGGGCTATTTACAGAGCGCAGCCGAGGAGTTGAACTAGGGGCAACCTAGAACAAATCCAGTGAGTGGCAGGGTAGAGGACTTGAACCCGGGACACCAGATTACAAGTCCAGCACCCTAACCACTCGGCCACGCCGCCTCCTATATTGTGTTGAAGTTTCTGGAGATCCTATCTAATGATTACTCCTGAGAGAGTCAAAGGGGAAAATCATGTAACGTGACAACTTATTAAAGAGCTGACCTGATTTCAAAAAGTAACAAGGGCAAGTCATGTGACGGAGCTATGGTTGGTTGATTTTGGACCGTTGCGGTTTGTTTGCTCCTCTTTCTTAACCATTAAACTCCCATGAGTGATCAAGACAGGATTTCTCCTTACAATATCAGTACAATATCAATCAGAAAAGTGACGAGAATATAGAAAATGTCAAAGAGGAGTACTGGTAGCTCCAATTCCAAATCCTCCGAACCAAAATCATGAAAGTGTATGGTAGACAGTGAGGTGAATTACTAATAAGTGGATCTTGGGCGCGAAAGGGTTAAGATGTATGAAGAGTTTGCTCAATGTTGAAAGGGTGCGTGTGATTGACTTCATATCTTAATTAAGGTTTTTAGTACTCGCCCAGATGAGCTGTCAAGTGTGAAATAAAAATCCCCTACCTGTTCATTTCGTAATCACCTCTGAACTTATGTACTTTTCTTGATCGTTTGTATCCACCACCATCTGGAGAAAGAGTAGAAAATTAAAGTGTAATCAATGTTCTACACTCTTAACGGTCCGCAATCAAATATGAAGGAAACCAAATATACTTGGTATCTATTACACAAGAAATAAAAAGAGAGCTTAACGCGGATTAACAAGTACCAAGCGCCGAAGGGAAATCCATTTCACAACAACTGCCATAAATAATTTGGATAACATTGGTTTTGCATTATTACACTTAGTGATTGTGCAAGTTCAATAAAAAGTACAAATTTCACTCGAAGCGAACGGCTGCTGGGACCTCCTCATGTGCCATGTCGCCGCACCCTGTCACTGAGCATGCCTCGACCTTAATCAAAGGCGTTCGACCAGTGGTGAAAATTTAAAATTTTATGATTGAAGCTTAATTTTTTTGCCTCACCTCTATTGTCTTTCCATCGCCGAAAAACCAAAAAGTAAACTGCTGCTATTATAAGAAAAACAACTATCAACGCCACACAAACGATTATAACAGTCATCTCCTCCTGCTTTAGTCCCCCGGTTCTCTTCTCTGTCACAGGAGGGGCCCCCTCAGTAGTGTTTGGTTCCTTAGTAGGAGAAACCTGTGGTTCCGTGGGAGCGATAGTTACTGGAGGAGGAACGCCTGCAATATTAAGTTCAGTTTATCAGGTTTTGTTCTACTGGTTTTGGTGGTAAATGACAAGCAAACATTGTAAACGAAACTCATCTTTGTCTAACAAAAACAACAAACACCGCCTCCCGGTTAGCTCAATTGGTTAGAGCGCTGGACTGTTGTGCGGGAGGTCGAGGTCGATGGTTCGAGCCCCTGCCGGACCAACACTCAAAGAATGGCGAGGAAAGCGCCTTGCAGAAAGAAGCCAGCTCCTTAGTTGTGCTCAAACGCTCTACCGGGGAATATCACAAGTCTAGTTAGCCTGCAGTGCAGGCGTCTATTTTGGGCGAGCCAGCGTTATAACCTTGTGATCGTTTATCCGAATGATATCAGATTGGACGGTGGGGAAAGGGGGCCGGGGAAGGGAGAGAAGACTCCCCCACCCTAGTCCCNTGTTTTGAAGACTAGGGAAAGTGTCAAGTGGTGAATTATCGTCGTCAACTCAAAGATTGTGGGGGTAAAACGTCTACTACTTCTTGTCGGTTAACTTGAGGCAATTTCTTTTGTTAGATAACCAAATGCAGATTATATTATCGTCAGGCTGATACATTAAAAAGCTATCTAAAGAGATATCAAAAACTACCGGGACCAAACAAATGACCTATGAGCGACATAAGTAAAAATCAAAAAAAGCGAACAGTACGAAGCAACTTTACGGAAGGATAGAAACTAACTAATCATGACTGACTTGAGACACTTGAGCTTTCCAACCAATGATTATTATTATTATTATTATTATTCTTAAAACTTAGCAAAGGAAATCAAGCTCATCAAATTTAGGCTCGATAGGTCTTGTCTCAAATTTATAACTCTAGACTGAAGAACAGGGCCGGAATCGTTAACGAAATATAGTTCTGAGGGATTTAAAATTGTTTCTAGTCCTAATCAGTATCCGTTTGTTATGCGGTAGACCAGTTTTACCGAGGAAGTTCTGAAAAGGCATCACCAGTTCCACCGATAGCTCGTTAGAAGAATTACTACCATTAAGTACAACTTGGTCAGCTGAGGAACGGAAGTCGTTCCTATTTACTCCCATAGTCCCTCGAGTTACCTGTTGTGACATGCACCATCATTCCTTGTTCGCCAGCCCCTTCTCTCGTTCTCGCCGTCACGTAGATGGAATGGGTCGTGTTGGCTTTCAAGTTCTTGATGTCAGCTGTAGTCAAACTTCCATTTGTTGTCATGATGCGTGTTGCGTTATTGTCAAGAGATCTGTAAGTGATCTTATACTCTATAACTTTGCCGTTAGGTCTTACAGGGGGATGCCAAGATATTGTTATAGTGTCGTAACTCACAGATACCACGGTCACGTTATCAACTGCGCTTGGAACTAAACAGCAAAGAGATAGTAAGGGAAGATAAAATTACAAAGCGATAACCAGAAAACATCAAAAATAAAAAAAAAGGTAGGGGCACTATAATTTATCTTAGTGACAATTGATGCACTTTCAAAAGGTAAAAAAAATACAGACTGTTCACGAGGCTTACCTCCTTCTTGTGTGACTATCGTTTTTACTTCGCTTTTGGTGCCAAGTCCTGCGCGAGTGAAAGCTGCTGCTTGAATAGAATACTCTGTAAACACTGTAAGGTTGGCCAAAGTTAAAGGGGAAGAGGTTGTGTTAACAGACAGATAATCAGCCTCCGTTAGGCCGGTCTGCCTGTACAACACAGTGTAACCGCGGATGACACCATTTCGCTCGGAAGGAAGAGGTTGAGCTATGTAGACTATGATGCTGTACTGGCTAACGGAATCCAAAGTGACATTCGATGGCCGACCAGGCGCTGAAAGGTAAGCAAACAATTAAACAGTAAAATGAATATGGTGTTATTTCAGTTACGCATGACAAAATGGTTTTCAGCGGCGAAATCACCACCAAATCTCAAACAACAACTTTAGAAGATCAACGACTTTCACATCCATTGGGATAAATTGAAACGAAGAATTAATCCAATAATTAATTAATTAACCATAACTAAGTAAGTGAAGATGCATTTTGCACAACTATGCCAACTGAGAACACTGCAAGCTCATGAGGAAAAATCCCAGCCGATGGTAGAAAGGCCACTTCACGTTTAACCCGGGACTTCCTAAAAAGTTAACCACGAAGTAACAAGGAGGTTAGCGGTTTGGGTGAAATTTAAATTTGGGTTTCTATATTTCAAAGCGACACGCCACTTCCACAAAAAAAGTTACGCCTGTACCATATGGCTTATAACTTCAAAAGCTGTGATCTAACATTGAATTATTTGAAAGAAGTTACGCTCACAGCGATCGTTTCAAATCTTGGTGAAACACCTCTTTTCCCTCTGAATGCTAATACTACTATCATTCCCTTAGAACTCTATGAACTACACGTTTGAAAGATCGGCTCCCGTTCTAAAACAATGACACTAATATTTCCTGTACACACTCAACGCCAAAAACGTACCAGCCTCTAGGGTCCGCACTTGTTTTACAAGGCTCTCCGGTCCGGAGACAACAGTCACGGCCTGAACTGTAACGTTATATACTGTCCATGGATGAAGTCGTTGTATTGTAAAATTCAGAGATGAATTTGTGGAGTACTTCAATCCATCATTGTCAAAACTGTAAGGACCTGCTGCCTTGGCGATCACAATATACTCCCTGATGATACCGTTTGATAGCTCCGAGGGAATACTCTGCAAAGGAAGGAAAGTTGAATAAATACACATCTTGTTAGACATTTAAGGTGTGTACGATTGAAGTTCAGTTGTGCTACATCCTCTGCGTAACTGTTTTTCGGCCGCATATCTTCATCTCTCCACCAACTGCCATCTGTTTAGCAACAGAGCAATATTTTCAACATTATTATCCACTGGTGTTATCGTCGCTGACATCCTCATCTGAATAGGAAGCTTTTCAAGTCCGATGATCGTTTTTAACTAACTTACATTGCTGGGTTTCCATAAGGAAGTAAATGCGTCCTGCCCATTCAATGCACAGTGACCCCAATCCAGAGGCCAATTGCGCTAGCAGGTGGGCAAAAAAATCTTTTGCAGTTGTAGATACCGTAGGGTTCTTGGATAAAATCCTTTCAAGACAAGACAAAAAAATTATTATATCTATCAATTTACCTTCCACGTAACGAATATGGACTCAGCAGACAAAGCTCTGAGTTGGATCTCTCGAGGGGCTGCATCTGGAGCTAAAAAAATAAACAAAACAAAGAAAACAGCCGAATAAAAGTGGCACCTTCAGAAAACTCTGTTGACTTCTGAAGTAACACATAATCGTGGAAGGGTTAAAACAAGCAAAGCGCGATTGGTTGTACCAAAAGTGGATCCTCTCTTGGATAAACTCATAATACCCTCGAATATACCGAAATCCAGCATGAACCAAGACTGCAACCTCGGTAATGATGAGTACACAGAACATTACTTTTTTGTGCAGGTTATCCATTTGCGCCAAGAAAGGAAAAAACTTGAAAACCGATTCCGTAGGGCTGCATTTAGGATACTTCGTATTGGTTGGAATTCATAATTAAAATGCGATTCATCAGCCACCCACAATCAGAAATGGAAAGGTGGACAAAAAAATGCAATATTCGTTGCGTTCCTTATCCAATGTGGAAATTAAAAAGCGGTTAGTATAACAGACTGCACTCGGATAAGTTCCGATAGCTATCTTCGGTCACCGTCACCTAATGAAAACTTCCTAAATTATGAATTTAAGGTCTTGATGCGAACAGTTGCGTTCAAGAGCCAAATATACACTTACCTGCTTCCCCCGTAGTCGCTTCAGTAATCGCTGAAAAGTTTCCCCACATAACATTCCTCTCCTCAGTGGCGGCACGAACCTTAAATTGGTAGCGAGTAAATGGTTTCAAGCTGTCAATGGAGGCCTGAAGCACCGATAGCTGATTGGCTAGTAGCATTTTGCTGGTGACGTCACTCTTTTCAGCAGTGTTATAATGGATTTCATAGCGTGTGATCAGACCGTTAGGTGTGGCTGGTAGGTCCCAGGTGATGGTGACAGCTGTCGCATTTAAGGTTGCTGCGGCCAAGTTTGTAGGTTGCGAAGGAGCTGAAACGTCAAAAGTAATTACTCTGTGGTTTAATGGGCACGCAAAGAAGACATTTTCACATTTGTGGTACAATAGCCTGAAATTTTATCTCTACATGAGATTCTGTTGCTTTGTAAGGACAACCTCCCACGAACTCGATTATTAGCTAGAACTTGCCGGCTTATCATAACAGGCCTTAACCCTGAAAAGGCAGAGAAGCATAGAAAATGTCAAATCTTTTTCGCACACGGCATAATTATTGTCAAGCAGAGTTCTGAAGCACGCCGCCCTATTGACGAAAGCTTCGCTGATGAAGGCAGGCCAAAGAAAGCGATTTTAAAACATTCCAACTTACCATCTTGTAAGGTTCTGTTCGTAACATTGGCCCCGTCACTTAAACCGACCACATTGCGAGCAGAAATCCTGAAAGTGTACAATGTGAATGGATGAAGATTCCTCACAGTATATGACATGGCAGAGATGACCTCTTGAATAACGATGTAGCTCTCAGACTCTCTCCTCATTTCCAGCTTGTAACTGGTAATTGGACTGTGCCCGTCAAAAACAAGTTGCCATGACAACTGAATGGCAGAAGAAGATACCGATGTGGCAGAGACTGGAAATGGAGGACTGGGAACCACTATTTAAGAAAAAAAGTTAACGATGTACATTTGTACAGTATGGATACTTTATAAGAGAAATGATAGAACTACGACGGTTAAGGAGACGGAGTCCAATAGGTAATTTGAAGAGGTGCACAACGTAAAAGAGGGAGAAATCGGAGATTTACTTCAAAATAACTAAGAGTGATCTTTCATCACCCTTGTAAAAAGTATTTATTAATAATCGTTCTTGTGACTGTCTCTTCCACAACCTAAACAGAAGATATCATTAGGCAGAAGAACCAAAGGGTTGTTTTTCAACCAAATCTGTTTTTTCCAGGAGAGTCTGATTCTTAAAAGTTCCACTTCGCTAATAAAGTGAACGCTATTTTGAACGGTACCACTGTTCGGCAAACCCTTTAAACCACAGCTTCAGTATGCACCTTCTACACACTGTTCTCTGAACATGAAGAGGAGATTTTGTGTAAGAATCACTAGTTCTTTTAGTTGATGATTATTTCCTTTCTCCTCGTGTCCTTTTAAAAAGCGTGACTCAGGGCTGATATTATAAGGAGAAATTAGCTGCTCGGCACTCTTAGAGGTTAAAGGCTTAATGTCATAAAGTAGAAGGTACCGGGCAGTGGTTGTTTACATCTGTTTGAATATGTTTACAAAACACCAACTCGGAGCAATCTAAATATCGCATGGAACTTAAATATCTTGAAATGATTCTTGTTCGGAACCATAACCGTACACTAACCTTGTACAGTTAGATTTCCATTCTTGGATAACCTTCCCGCCGCGTTAGTTGCAATGCAGGTATACACTCCATCGTCAGCTTCACGAATGCTTCTAATCACAAACAAGCTGGTAGTCGAGGACAATAACTTGCCGTTTCTGTACCACGTGACACTTGGGTTTGGCGTACCACTCACGGAACAGTTTAGCACAGCACTCTCACCAAGTTTGACCAGTCGAGGTATGTGAAATACTGTTATATTTGGCGGAACTGCAAATAGACAACAGATGCTTTACATCAGAGAGTTAGTCGCGTAATGGTTATGATCTGGCTATTCCGGGTTCGAGTAACGACCGGAGTTATTGTGGACAGATACCCGCTAATTCTACATGAGTACCTTCAAAGTGTCTGAGAAACCTAGCCTAACTCTGAAGACTATTTCACCACACTTTCCTGGTAGAGAAGCAATACTTCTAGTCACTTCTCGCAAAAAAAACACGGGGTTGAGCTCTGGCAGCCACAACAATCAGTCTCTCAAGCAGATTTAACCGGGCAAGATATGAGAGAGGGAAAAATTGCCACCTCTGAGAGGCAGCGCAAGAAAACTTGTATATGGCAGTGAGTACAGTTTGGTATCTGTAGATTCTGCGCATCATATTTGGGAAAAAGTATTAACAATAAATAACAAATAAAATTCTTTAGTCGCCAGGGACAAGAATTGAAGAGGGCGGCTTGTGAGACTGTCAGCTTTTCATCAAACCACCAAGTTTTTTGAAGTAAGTGCTTTTACGCCTTTCTCTCCCAAAAGTGACTAGACAACATCAATACATTTTCACATCAGTTCTCACAACATCAATACATTTTCACGCAAAAAGTTGATGGGAGGAAAGGCCATTTCGGCTTAAAATACTCTTTGATTTACTTGCAAATTCTTTGAGTTAAATTGATAGGATGCGTAAGTCTGACAGTGAGGAGAATTGGTTTTTAGATCTTGGGAGCGAAAGTGCTGAGGTTCTTACACGTGAACACGATAATAATAATAATAATAATGATCTTATCACTAACGCTCAGTTTCTTTTGTTGCTTGCCAACGAACACGGAAAAAAATTCCATAGGAAAATTCATTACTTGACGAGGGAATTCCGCATTAAACTGCACTTGAAAACCGCGATTCGTGCGATATCGGTTTACAAGAATTCGCGGAATTCACGAGTCAAGTAATGAATTTTCCTTGAATCGCATAACTGAGTAAAAATGAGGAAAAAAAAAAGAAAAAATATTACTTATAGTTGTTATGTATTCGTAGATGCGAAACAATATCACTTAGCCTCGTTTTCAACTCGCAATTCCACGCTGAATATCTCGCTTCGTCAACCAATCAGAAAGCGAGATTTTATTCAATAATGCGACTCTGTAAAGAACTCAGAAAGCTGATTTATCGATATCAACCCACCTTGAACAAGCAAATAGGTGGTTCCCACATGCGAATTCAAGCCATTACTAACATTACAGCTGTACTGTCCAGAATCACTTGCGACCGTTCTCAGAATCGTTAGGCTGTCTTCACCAATCGCAATCCTAGCTCCTGGAGTCAACTGGGTTTGACCATTAAACCACGTGACTACTGGTTTGGGATCACCAGATGCATTGCACCGGAAAGAGGCTGGAGAGGACTCATTCACAGTTACATTCATTGGGTTCATGTCGAGTCCAGAGGGCACTGAATGGTCAAAAAAAATAAATGTCTTCAAAACTGGCTAAAGCGCAGGAAAACAGGTTCAGAGACCAAGTCTTGGTTCGCTCGCGGCCTTGCAAATTTTTTGTTGAGAGGGTGACTGAGGTTTTTTGGACCAATCATAGAACGGCATGGAGCAAAACTAAATAAGTACTAAAGAGGGCAAGGTTCTAAATAAATCTGAGGGGCTGCGCCGGTGGGGGCTATTGCAAGTCAATTTGATTTTGTCAACTCAGTCAATGATATATATTGGCCACCAAGAGAGTTCGGTCAGAGATCTGATGAGGCTAACACTCGAAACGTCTACTCTGCACGATGGATAACTTACATTCTTAAATCAGTCCTAGATTCCAGATTGAAAAATGATTTGATTCCTATTCATATGTACCTCTCACTCTTAAAAAGGCCAATGCTTCCAAACTTCCAGCAACATTTTTAGCTTGACAAATGTAGTTGCCTTCATCTCTCTTCCTTATCTGCCTGATTTCAAGTGATCCAGTCAAAATGATGTAATGTTCAGTTTGGTTGATTTGAAACATTGACCCTTCAGATTTGTAGATCCACAGAATGCTCGGGTTTGGAATTCCACTGAACGTGCATATAAACTTCACTGTTTCTCCAACTATCTTTGTGGCGTTTTCTGGTGGCGAGACCAGTGATGGCGGAACTAAGAAAATGGAGATTAGAAACTACATCAACGTTTGTTCACTTTGAAAAAAAACTTTTTTCACGTCGGTCATCGCCAATTCGTTTGAACTTTCTTCATTCTTAAAGTAGAAGTATACTCCACCACGAAGGCAATTTTAACCTCTGTTAAAAAGTGTACATGAAAGTAAATTGCACTTATTGCATCTTTAGTTACCAAAGTATTTTGTAGTGATATTTTTTAAGCATTATCGGATGTACAGCCGTCGCAGCTCAATACTGTCATGTGAAGCATTTAAAAACCTTGACTTCCTCATTCACCACAAGCACCTATACGTCTTTTTGTTGAAAGAGAGGCTTTCTCTCTACACTCCACCCCAACCAATTAGTAAAAGCTTGGAGTAAATAGTTCCCTGGCTCAAATTTAAGAGGGGAAGGAAATGCATATGAATTGTCTCTTCAAACCTTCCAGTCATCATTAATTTTATTCTGGCTATTCTTGACTCCATCTCAAGTTGGTATGGATGTATGCTATATGAAAGTGTAGCGCGATCGCCTAGGTGAGTGTACTCCTGAGAAGGACTATAGTCAGTGGCGGTGATCGACTGACAACAACTTTTCACTTGACTCTGATGATGACTTAAGCAGAGGTTGTTGAAAGGTTAGTCACCACCACCAACAACAGTCCTTCTCAGTACTACACTCACCCGGACGATCGCACTACTTTTTCACATGTTACCCCCAGGTTCAAACCATTTACTGCACAATGTATATTATAACTAATTTTGTTTACCATAAATGATGACAACTGCCGTCACAGAGACAGAGCTAGCAACATTGCTTGCTATACAACTGAATGTCCCTGCATCCTGCTTAACAGCACTAGAAATGAACAAGCTCCCATTGGACAGAACAGTCATATGACTAGTCTGCAGCGCCTGACCATCTTTTTGCCATGTCAAAATTGGCATTGGATCACCTGTGGCCTGGCAGTGTAACATAAGAGGAGAGCCTTGTTTGACATTGGTGTTACTGGGCCGAACTTGAAACGATGGTGGAACTGAAATAAATTGAGATTGATCTGGATAAGTTGAAAAGTATTGAGTTTTATTTTAGTAGAAAAAGGACATCAAACTGAATGTTCGTGTGTAAAAGACAAGTTGCCCAGAGGTACCAATAAACACAGGTGGCAATCCTTTATGCAAAGTTTCAGTGAGGCCCATTTTGCCTTCTCTTATAGACCTATTTCATAAATGGTGGCCACAATTTTTCGTGTATATCTATGAAAATTAGCCCTCCAAGCCACATCATCATGTCCAAACACAAAACAAGTTTAAGCTAAAAGCAAAGCAAAAATAGCCTGCACAACAGGTGTAACATTTTTTCCATTTCTCAGGCAAACCATCAGACAAGTGCTAGGCATTTGCAAGTCACACCCAAGGGTCATTATGGCAATTGTTCACTTGTCATTATGAAAGAGGTCAATGGCCAATCAAAACACAGGACTAGCTTCATTTTCATGCCTAGGACATCTTGATTTCCATAGTCAGCTCCCTTGCAGCTGCATTTTGGGATGGCACCCCTGGCTTTTGTAAAGGAATGGGGTTTGCCTGGGAGGGTCTAACTGTAGATGTCATGTTGTGCATATTGAAATCAAGACAGACCCTTTTATACACATTTCTGAAGTTACTTACCATATACAGTGACAAAGGCCACGGAGGATGTTCTTGTGGCATGAAGGTCAGAATTTGTTGCATCACAGAAATACTTGCCTTCATCAGATTTTGTAATGGAAGTAAAAGTTATTGTTCCTGAGTTGTCAATAGAAATTCTGCTGCTAGGAGTAACCAGCTGATAGTTGTGATACCAATTAATTGTGACCTGAACAGGAAAACTAACAGGAGGGACACAGGGCATCCTGATGGCAGCACCAACAACAGCTGTCTGATTGGTTGGATTCTTACGAAAATTGAATGCAAAGTCTGAAAATGAAGAAATTATGATTAATAGAAAACTATCTATTAAATAAATTAACAAATAATCAATGTCTTTCTTTTTTTTTTTTTAACCCTTTAATGATTAAGATCTGGAGGTTTATTCTAAAAACAATACCATACATGACCATTATTTTAGTGCTCAAGGCTATGGCTGGAAGGTGAGAATTTGACTGTCATTTTCATTCTCAGGTTAAATACTGATTTGAGTATAAAAGTTGTATTTATTTTTACTTATTAATAGCTATTAACAGACTGATTTACTGTCACACAGAAAGGGTTAAAAGTCAACTTACATGCCACTCTAAAAAACACAGCACCACTTGAGACTGATCCAGCTGGATTTGTCCCATTACACACATACTGTCCAGCATATGAGTGATTCACTGGAGGAGCAAAGTAAAGTGAGCCATTGCCTAGCATGTACCGATCAGACACATTGTTCACAGGCTGACCATTCATCGTCCAAGATATCAAGGGTGGGGGCACACCCAGAATTTGACACTGAAGAATTGATGGAAGGTGCTCAGGTACAATCATATTTGTTGGATGCACACCAAAGTGAGGCTTATCCTCAGCAGCTGTAAAAAGCCAAAGACAAAGTGGTTTCACATTAACACAGTCAGAATAAATGCAATTTGATCAATCTTTAGCCACAGTAATTCTGTACGCAGGGTCAGTTAAGATCACCACATCTTTGTGTTGAATTTATGTCTTGGAATTGAGGCATAATTTCATCATGATAATTTAAAACAGAACTTAAGGTAAATTAATGTAAACAAAAATTGTCATGTTTGCATTTGGAACTGCACAAGAGAAAAAAGGCAGAAAACTTCACCAATTTCCTGGGAGGTTGTGGTTGCCACCTTCTCAAAAGCTTTTAAGTATGACTGCAAGCAAATACCATGCAGTCTTATCTCATGTCTTTAGCCTGTCTTTTATGCATCTTGTAGCTCAGTCTCAATGGTTGCTCAAGTCTTTAATTCTAAGAAAAGTCCATTTGCCACAATGATTAAATGAAACAGTTTGAAGAATTCTGTTTTAAAAGTGAAACATCTTCATCAAAATATAATGCTGTCAAGTTGAAGCCATCAACTCAAACTGTAGCCGAACAAAAGATTTAGATTGACCAAAATTAATAATTATCCACTAAAGTGGAGGTGAAAAGTGGTTTTTATTAGCTGAGCTGCAAAGTGGCAGGCAAATATCCACCACAGATACTCAAAAATTAATTTATTTCTTTAAATATACTAAAAGACTGTTGGAAAATAAAGTCTTGACCTGCAATTTTGTCTCTCCTGCTGTTGGGAGGTAAACAGTTTGCAATTCACTTCCAAACTTGCCAATCAAGGTGTGCGAAAAGCACTATTAACTTGTGTGGTATATACTGAGGTGGGATAACCAAGAGTCCATGTACTATTGCAATCTTAGCAAAACTTCATTCACATCAAACTCAAAATATCACATCACATAAAAATCTGCCTGAAAAGATTCATCAAACACCTTGAATAAATTTACTTACGAAGTACAGTTAAATATGCCTTCTTGCTATACTCTCGCTGACTGGGTAACAAAGGATTTACAGCCACACAGCCATACCATCCTGCACTTGAGAATGCTACATTCCGCACTGACAGGGCTGATGATGTGGCCTTTGTGCTTGGAATTTGGTATGGACCCGTCACATCACCACCAGTAAAGGACTTTCCATCCTTCTGCCAGTGGATGGTTGCATAGGGTAGGCTTTCTTCAATAACACAGTCAAATGTTGCATCCTCTCCCAATCTTATTGTAAAATTTTTTGGATTGGTGAGATACTTTGATTTGATGTCTGTATAAATTAAAAAGTAAACTTAACACAAATGGAATGATGATATTCTAATTAAGAACTGTTAATTGTTCATAAATGGCACAGGAGGAGGGTAAGAGATTAGGATCAGAAAAAGAAAACCTCCCACAAACAACATTATAACATAACCAAAGTAAAGCGCGCGCTCTGATTGGTCAATTTAGCGTCCCCCATTTGCCCATGGGTGTACGCTGCTGACGTGAGCAAATGCAAAGACTATTTTTCCGCGCGCGCTTGTTTTTTCTGGTCGCGTAAGATTTGTTAAATAAAAGGGAACTCTTTAGCTACAATGTATCAATGTTATGTTATAAAACAAATGGTAAACACCACAGCGTACACTATTGAGTTATGGATGCACTTGGGAGGTTTGCTAAGCACTCAAGAAGCTAGAGTCGCTCTCGGCTATCGCCTCGAGCGACTCTTACGCTTCTTTCGTGCTTAGCAACCTCCCGCGTGCATCCATAACTCAATAGTGTACGCTGTGGTGTTTACCATTTGTTAAAATTCAAATACATACATGCTGCTTGAACAGTTGCAGTTCTGCTGTAAATAACTGAGGGTTTGCCTTGAACTGAAGCTCCACAGATGAAAGTGCCAATACTATTAGCAGGAATGCTACTATAATACAAAGAGTAGTTTGCTAACTGGGTCCAGGATGTATTAGTGGTATCAAACAGCCAAAGGTTATTATTTTTCCAAGATATCAATACATTTCCTGATCCATTGTATTGTGCCTGGCAGTTGAGGAGAAGGGGCTGTCCTATGGCAACAACATGGTCTGTTGGCTCTATTGTGAAATCTGAAATGAGAAATTGGATTCTATTGCTTCTTCCTAAGATTGTTATCACCCCATTCTATCACATCCCCTTTTACTAAATTCAAATGCTTCTAAAATGCATAAAATTCATAAAAATTCTAAATTGACTGCACAAACCAGAAACAAACATTCAGATATTATAGAGAAAAACTTTCAACTCAATTGTCCTTGCAACAGTAACTATAAAAATGTGCTTTTCAACAAACTACAACAGTGCTCATAATGTGTGAGAAGTCTTGTATGAAATACATCTTAATATGGAGAGCACTTATTACTGCATGTGGTTTGGGAGTTTTTCATTAACTATTTGGTTATCATAAAATATTCACCTGTAGGGCTGCAATGCCACTGAGGAAAAAAACAAACAAAAAAACAACAAACACAACAAAGCAAAGGGACATTGGTTTAATGCTACTCAGGTCTAAGGATTTAATGAAAGTAACCAGGGAATTATAATTCAAAGACCCAATGTTTTGACACTGCTATCTAGTGCCTTCATCAAGGGTGATCTACTCTAGTGTCCCTGATGAAGGCATTGGACAGAAGTGTTGAAACGTTGGGCCTATGAATTGTAATTCCCCAGTAACATTCATTCAATCCTTATAAACCAGAGTAGCATCAAACCATGTCTGATTGTCCACCTGGTTGCTTTGTAGACTTTAATATATGAAAGCAAAAGGAGTAATAATTTTACTAATGAATGTCAACACGTTTTGTTTTGCATAATATAGATGAACAATCAAAATAATATAATTACTATTGCATGAACAATTAAAATAATATAATTACTATTGCTTGTCCCACAGATGAGTCATGACAAATTAATAGTCCCTGATGATATTTTGGTTCACCCTGTTATATTCTTTGCCAATTTTCCAAGGTTTGTAAGCACTAGTTTGAATTAACGATTTAGGGGGATTAAGATATCATATTGATCTCTCAGGGAAATTTTTTGGTACTATATTTTAAAATACACAAGGCACTCCTAACACAAGTAACAAGTCTGGACTTGAAAACCAGAGAAAACTCGTATCGACGTTCGGTAAATTTATTCGGTTTTAAGGGCACTTCACGAAAAAATGACCCTTTTACTCCTCAAACACGTATGAAGTAAGCGAAGCTTACATGATCTTTATTAATATCAAAGATATTACACTATGCTACGCTCTCATTATAGATGTAAAACAAAACGGAATAACCGAAGTCAAACAATTTCAAGTAATGCCGACTTTGTCATCGCACTGAGACTCAAACTACTACAACATACATTTGAGTTGTACACTATTTACTCACACAAACTTGCAGATGCTGAAACTACTGCAGAGTAAGTCGTTGCGATCACCACAACAGCGCTAATGAAGGAATTATAGCCCATTTCAAAGAGACATGCACAGCGAGGGACAGCGTAATTATAAACCGGTGATCCATAGAAACATCACGTTTGGAATTTGTTGATCCTTAGTTCTTGCGCACCGCGATTATTACTTCCTCATAGGTTACGAGATTCCACTGAAGCATCATAAGGACTAAATTAGACAGCAAAAGCTCTTGGTTGCCTTGGAGAAGAAAGAATTTCCGCAGCATGAATGTTAATGTTTACAGTTTCTGCGATGCAGGACGCTAGAGACGATTAGCAACCAAACGCCTGCGATATCGAGTACAGTGGTTTTATTGTGAGAGCTTCCGTTTGTGTCGGTACGGGTTCGGTATTCGGCTTTATTTCGGGATGAAACGAATGGGAAGAAAATATAACAGTTCGCAATTTTCAAAAAAGCTAGTAAAGGTTAGCCAAAACAAGAGGATTTTTCTGATATGGGTAGTGCCCTAAAGACAAAACTGTTTCAGTTTACGTTTTCTGTAAATCAATTTCTGAAGCTAGTTACCGGCCACAGGTGACCTCAAATTTGTAGAACGAGCGACATAATTTAAAGAATGGTCGTTCAACATGAAATTCTACTGAAACACCTGAAAAGTCTGAAAGAACAATAGCCTGATCTATCTTTTTTTTTTTTAGAATTCGAGCATCGACAGGCTTAAATGTAACTACTAGGTAGTAACCTGGTGGCAGCGTCGGAAAATAAAAATGAAAATGCAAATCTTACTAGTTGAGAATTGTCTATGGGCGAAGACCGGAAAGAGTATCCAGGATCATAAAATGCATAGCTTCAAAATTGAACATTCTGTTTTACGAAAATCTCAGAGCACTATTATTTCTTCTAAACTGGATTACTGCAATGGCCTGTTTTACGGCTTGCCCTCTTCTGAAATACAGAAACTTCAAAGACTACAAAACTCTGCCGCCCGACTTATTACGCGAGCAAAAAAATCTGAATATATTCACTCCAGTCCTCATCAATCTGCACTGGCTCCCTATGGAACATCGTGTTATTTTCAAGCTGCTTCTCTATACCTATAAAGCACTTCATGGTCTGGCTCCTGATTACTTGGCAAACCTGTTAACTCGCTATACACCTCACGGTCCGCTCTCTCCGTTACTCAAGGTCCATCAATCTGTCTGTCCCAAGATCTAGAACCTCTACCTATGGCGACAGATCCTTTGCGTGTTCATCCCCCATGCTTTGGAACAAACTTCCTGATTTTAAAAGATATTCCGAAACCTTAGATTCCTTTAAAACCAGGCTCAAGACTCACCTTTTTAAAATCGCTTTTAAATTATGGTTTAATTTTTATCTTATTTTGTAATTACTTTAAATCATGGAAAAGCATGGAGACTTGTGTATAATGCGTTTTTAAGAACAGTATTATTATCATTATTATTATTATTATTATTATTATTATTATTATTAAAACAAGAGATTATAGTGATTTGATGAAGGGGAGGAACGCCATCTATGCGTTGAATCCAAAGTGCGGGTTTAAAGTCAGTTAATGAAAAGCAGGATTGCATTAGCATAAGTCTTACAGATCACACTATGTTACTATTTCAATTTCCACCTCTATTTTTAACACGCATACTGAAAGGCGGAATATCATGTTTACACGCCTCACAAACTACGCCATCATAATGTACGATATTTTGATACCTGACGGTTTATCGAAAAACCCAGTGTTAAAAGGGACATCTCTGGTGTATAAATTCATAATAAACACTCAGAGTTCAAGTTTCCTAAAACACTTGTAATATTCTGATTGACTGGTATTGGGCGTCGGTATATTTCTTACAAGAGAATAACAGTCGAGAACCATCTTTCTGTTTCGTCAAAGGAATGCCGCGGGTAGTTTGATTGGAATCAGCGAAACTCTGATAGTTCTCTCATTCGTTAAAGTTTTGTCTAGCTCTTGTAATTTGTTTATTTTCATTTTTTCCTATTAATGTACGCTTAAGTTTTAATTTTAGATCTCGTGATCTTCTCTCGTTGACAAACGGTAATTAAGAGTGAATAGACAACCCCAAAGAGTTTCAGTCATACGTTATTTACATGACTTGTCTAATACTCCGACTGTGGGCATTTTAATTAGGTTTGCAAAAATAGTTATAAATGGGCTAGTCTGAAATTTATGAAATACCCTAATCCAGCATGTGAAATTATCATAAATTGACATCAGGGACGTGACAGAAGTCGAGTTCCAGTTTGTTCAGCGATTAGCCAAGGATGATGCTTTACTGAACAGGATCGGATAAGGAATAAAAATAAATTGCCCCCAAATATTCCAGATATCATGGACAGGGGATGTAGATACAAAAAAAAAACGTTGCTTTTTCTGAAGCTGTGGCCAAAAACAAACTGATCTGACCGTCAAGCTTACTTTGACGTTGTCAAGTTGTTTACGGAGAATAATTTAGACCGTACAAGCTTCGTTTCACAATTCAATAAAAAAGTCCATTTATGTCAGTGGGATATCACAAAGAGAATAACAAGAAGGAAAAATTTTTTTTGCAACAACCATTATTTGAAGTCAGTAAGAATAACAACGCAGCGATAAACTTAATAATCGATGGATGGTTCTCTCTATGGGTTTATGAGGGCATTGTGTACCTACCTTGATTTTTGACAAGGGATGTGGCGGCAAAGCTCGTTGACGCGATATCTGATTGGTTGAATACACAAAAGCTATTAATGCATCCAATGGTTGGCCGAATTGCATTGTTCTCAAACAGCTGCTCCACAAAGACCAATATATTCAATTGTGATGTTTAGTCTCGAAAGTGACACAGTTGGTGAAACGTCTGTGGAGAAAACAAAATTCACTTTTTACCCTACTCTCGCGCAAATGATGTATGTGTGCATCGGGAAGGGCGGATGCCGAACGAACCGCCGTCGCTCGCCCCAGTACGGAGACATGGTACCTGTCTCACCATCTAAAATCAAACAGAAAAAAGGGAAAAAGACAGAAATCTACAGTGCAATGAATGGAAATTATCAACCGCCAGATTATTCGCGAACAGCCTGCAACTTTCAAGAGGATTTCGCCGCAAATGTGAGCGTACTTTCGCTGGATGTGAATGATAATCAGAAAACTCAAGTGCCGCCATCTCCAACAAAAGCTACTACTTTTCCTCGAAGGAATCATGCTAAAACACCACCACAAAAACCTCCCCGGGGTTTGCCACCGAAGCCCCCTCGCTTGATGGAAAGAAAAATTTTTACTTGCGAAAATCCGTCGTGTCAAAGGCAGGAGGAACTGTTGGGAATCGTCGCGTTGGATTTCAAATCTTGTCCGTCATGTTTTACACACTATTGCTGCATCGAGTGTCGAAAGACACACTGGAACGAACATCGCGTTGTGTGTCACTACGGACAAGTCGATAGCCACATGAAGTCGATAATAAACATGAGTAACGAAAACCGTGAACTGCTTTATCATCTGACTGAAATTGCACGAGAAGGATTCATTACTAAGGGACGCGGAGCTGTCATGCTTGTATTTCTCTCACCGAAAGCTGCGGAACTTTTCGTGAAAACTAGCGTCGATTATTTTCGTAATCCTCGCAACTCGCCGACTTTTTCGTCGGCACAAGAACTTAAAGACGCCGGGGTTTATTCAAAACATCAAAAACAGCTTCTAAATTTGGTAAATGACTACCACCCGGCTCAAGAAATGGTTCTTAATATTGCGATCGTTGTAGGGAAAAACCTGCCCAAGACACCGATACCTCGAAATAAAGAACCTGCAGTTATCGCCCAGGTTAAAATTCCTTTCACAGGAAGAAAAACTTCTAGGACTTTCAGTCCTCAAAATAGCCAAGAGTTTGACATTTACACATACAACGTCAGAAATAGCCCAAGAAGGAAGTCTCTTTGAAAATCGTAAACAAGATTTGTGTTCGTTGTAGATTTTTTTGTTTTACTCAGTTGCTGTATGTCATGTAATGTGCCATTTATCTTTGTCAGTGATGAATAAATCATATATTTATTCCGTTTACAAGTTAACTTCTCATCAAATCAAGTCAGTGTACAATATATCCCGCGGCGAAAGCGTTTCAAATCGTGTGTTCCAATGCACACTGAACGCTGTCGAAATTTCATTTGTTTTCACATTTTTTCCCAATTAGTCACTGGAAATTTATTTCAGAAAAATTCGGAAGTCGTTGGCGTACTTTAGCACCATATGTACTCTCTTTATCAGTTTTTGTTTTCCACTTTCAGATTGTTTTATGCACACACACAAAAAAAAAACAACTGTGTTGTTCATAAAGGAAAGAAATATCGTGAGTCGCCAGCCCAGTCATATTGGCCAAAAACACTACTAGTACTCGACTTGTCTATTAAATAATTAAAAAGGTGAAATTTGCATACTTATTGATCATGAAAATTGATTTTAGTTTTGTGCCAAGCGCGTTAATGTGGATCGTGACGCAAGTTTTATCTACCAAGGAGCGGAAATGAGGTAAATTGCAGGGAAAGTTTGCTTCGGGAAAAAGTGACTGGACGAATAAACGCTTCTTTTTTCTTGGTAAAAATTTCGTTTTTTACCAGTTTTTTATGCCTCTATGGATTGATTTTTTTTTCAGTAATTGATGTTTTTATCTGTAAATTTAGCTTAAAGAGGGCCGTTTTACCGGTACCGACCAAGTCTTAAGCGTGATGGTCCAATGCACATATATTCTCGTTAACAGAAAACTGACGTTTAAATTAAGAACTAATACGTTAACATGCAGTTTATATTTGCCATGAATCAACAAAGCTTTGGCTTTGATAGAACGTATTTTTAAACAAATCGAGCTGAAAATTTGAATATTCAGTCACTGATGATGACTTCAGACTTAATCAAGAGCAAGATCAGCCAATGACATAACAATCTGTGGGCGTATGCGTAATAGGTTTCGTGCAACGACACACTCATGAAGAATGCAGACACACACGCAAAGATCTTCAAGTACCAACTTCCTCTCTCTTGTTATGATTAAAAACAAATTTGCGCAGGTCACCATGAAGAAGAAGGATAAAACTTGTTTATAAATAGACAAACGTGGTGTAACTTTGACCAAACAGAAAATTTGTGTTTATCTGCTAAGTTTTCGACATTTTTATCGAAACATGTTTTAGAACTACCGGCTAGTGTCCAATTGTAACTGGTTCTTCATGTGAAGAAGAGGCTTGAAGTCCATACATATTGACTCAGGTGACTGCATGTCTGCTGTTAATCATGAGCATCAAAAACATAATAAAAAAAATAACAATTACGAAAGTAATAGTCTTGTGTTTATGTTGAAAGGAAAGAAATAACATTTGTCCTTACAGCGCGCTCTTTTGATTCCTTGAACATTTGCTTGACCTTGCGTGCAGTTCGTTTTCCCAGGATCTTTAAATAAAAGCAAATTACAGGCAATTAAGCAAATAGAAATTTAAAAAAAAAGGACAATTTAGGAAAACATTGCAAGCCACGCAACTGAGAAGCCTCGACATAAAGATTTTCTTTCGATTTTGTTCGTTGAAATTCAGAAGGAAGATGTTCGCAGTCAGTGGAACGTTTACTGTTCAGTGAAAATTCATCAGTTCTCCTGAAAAACGAGAGGGAAATCAAAACAGAGCAGTAACTGTATGGAAAACCAAGCACTTATGGTTGATCAAAGCGAAGTCGCCAAGTACGAGCGGCGACAATTTTCCGAAATTTTTCCACAGTTCCATATACCTCTTGAAGGATAAAATTGCTTCACTGGATACACAGTTGCTCACAGTTGAGAAGCAAATTAAAGAGGTAAACCGGCTTAAATATACTCATGTACAATAGCCGCGTGAGGTTCACTAACTATTCATGAGACTGATCTTAATACATATGGTGATGTGTATTTAATATATTTGGATTTCCGGGTGGAACTCAAAGAAATAATATCGCAATCCTAGGATAAATGTTTTCTCTAATTATTGCCATTGATAATCCTGGTATTAATACGTACCTGAGGTGACATTGTTAAAGACACGAAATACCTTCGGCATTACAATACTTCACATAATTATAAATCACATTCGATAAGTCTGTAGTGAATGATGTGAGTTTTACTTATTGACTGACCAGGAGGTCTGTAGGAGATATTTTAAGACCTCCTATCAGACCTCCTGGTCGGTCAATTAAAACTGTCTTTTGATCATGACGCAAAGACCGCGAGGGAGTAGTAAGCCACCAACTAGGAGAAAACCGCATAAAAAGGATTCCATTGTGTTATCCTTCGTAAGCCTCAGTAAGAAGGCATGGAATCTTTACTGTGCCGTGAGAAAACATTTTGAATCAGTCAAGCGTCGGATCAATAGGAATATTTGGCCACTGTGCTCGAAGTAAAAGTAAAAAGTAAAAATATTGCAAAATTTAGCTTTTTATTTCTAATGTTCGCTGGTTAGTAACACACATAAATTACGAAATGGCAAAATAACTGAAGAAAGAAGTCCACCACTTAATTGAGTTTACACAAATAGACTTAAAACTAGACGAAAAGAAACCTTTCCTACGTCCCTCCCTTCACCCGCCCATTCCCCTCCCCTTCATCCCACCCCTCTGGAGCTGTAAAAAATAATTAGAAACTAAAGCTAAGCAGACGTAGAGTCTTTCAGTCGCTTACGTTACGTCATCATGATAAGAAGCATGGAGTCCTAAGTCGTTCCATTTTGAATCCAAAAACAAAGACGTCTGTCAATCTTGAAACCCAGTAAAAGTCTTGAACTTGATTTTGCTGAATAATCAACACAGCAACGTTGTTTTATTAGTAGAGCTGAGAAACTGCGCCACTCCGAGTGACCTCTGGCGCTGTCGATGGAGGAAGTTTTAGTCTGCCCTGTTGAAAATTTTCAGCCGTCTAAGATACCCAATCTTCTCTACGTACCAAGAAGAAAAGGCGCGCGCGCGCGGGGTTTTAAAAGTTTTCTCAAAGTTTTAACGCTGGATTCCAGACACTTAAAAGGTTCGCCTCATGGTCTCTTGATCAGAAGTGTTGAAAATTGGGGCCGGCTCGGTTAACAGGACTCATTATCCAACTGTTCTTCGTAGAGTACAAATAACACACGAGACGAGTACAAACATCACGTGATATTTGTACTCCAGAAATATCCGCGAAATTCGCCCGCACTGAAATAACAATTTGGCGTGTTGGATAATAAATCTCTTACTAGACGTTTTGTTTTGTAGTATCGCTGAGTATTTTTGCTCCTAGTCTGTATTTTGAGTCGCCCCACGGGCTCGTCAAAATACGGCACAACTCGTAAAAATACTCAGCGATACTACACAACAAAACGTCTTATAAGATGTATTTATCTAATGCTTTAATCTCTGAGAGTAACTCGCATCTGTTTTCTCCTTTCAGTATCGTCACTGAGTCATACACTTAACCCTCGGAGATCACAGTTAAAAATGACAAGTAATAAATACATCTTATTAGACGTTTTGTTGTGTAGTATCGCTGAGTATTTTAACGAGTTGTGCAGTATTTTGACGAGCCCAAAGGGCGAGTCAAAATACAAACAACGAGTACAATTACTCAGCGATACTACACAACAAAACGTCTAATAAGTTATTTATTATCCAACACGCCAAACTGTTGGTTCAGGGCTGGCGAATTTCGCGGATATTTATTTACGGGGAGTGTGTGACAGAAGTATGCTAGACGGAACGGAATTGGCGCGTTGTCGTGTTGCAGTTTCTATTTTCTTCAATAAATGAAGAAATTTCCTGGTCGTCTAGCTGTTTTTCTTCTTTCGATTCATCAAATAAACTTGGATCTATATATGCCAGCCATTCCGACTCTTCGTGGTCAGAAATTTAATTGAAATTGTCAGCCATTTTTTCTTAAACTTCCGATCTAATTCTTCGCTTGCGCGATGCGAGAAAACCTGTTTAACTTGTACTCTAGAGTATAAATACCGCGTGATATTTGTACTCGTCTATGGCGTTCTTTGTACTCTACCAAGTATAGTTGGACAATAACAACCTTTTCTCTTTTATCATTTTTTTTTTGTCGACAAGTATTTAAACCAAGGAGTTGTGCTCTATCTCATTTAAAAGAGGACAAAATAAGCTTTACAGAAAAAAATATTCTGTTTCCTAAAAGGCATGTATTATAAAATCATGCAAACAAATTGCATAAAATTTGCAAACTTATCTAACAACTTGTGACTTTGAAACAGTCTAGGCCTGAATGGAGTGGAATTAGAAGGTAACTTTAAGGTAATGAGAATGAAGGAAAGACCACCCATCAAAGAAGCTCTTGACTGTTAAAAAAAATTCTCCTTGTCAGCACCTTAGGAAATCAGAGAGAAAAACAGAATGGAGAATATGCAGACTGCAGTAAATGGTTTGAACCCGGGGGTAACATGTGAAGGTGTAGTCTGATCGTCCGGGTGAGTGTAGTCCTGAGAAGGACTGTTGTCGGTGGTAGTGACTGACGTTTCGACAACCTGTGCGGAAGTCATCATCAGAGTCAAGTGAATGATTGTTGTCAGTAGAATGTTCTTATTCCAGTTCGTGTGAAATGATCGGTTGGTTTTGCCGTGATGTTATTGGCTGTAAGACTCAAGTGACGTAAGTCGGTCGTGATTGATCTGTTTCGATCTGTCGGTAAAGTTAGGTAGTTCTTTTTCGGTCGTTTGTGATGTTTATGTCGTGAATGAGTCGTTTGTATGGAGCGGGTAGTTGTTGACATCTGTTTAGGGGAGTCTGTTCTAAGTTAGTAAACAGCTTTCCAGAGTCAGTCGTTGAAAATAGTCAGTGCTGTAGGTTAGGCATTGCGCAGAATCCCAGTCAATGTTGTGGTTGGTAAGTCGATGGTGTTCAGCAATGTGATTGCTAACATCACCTTTCCTCGTCGCCCGTCTGTGTTCAGTCAGTCTTGTTGTGAGGTTTCTGCCAGTCTCACCGATGTAGGAGGCTTGGCAGTCGGAACAATTGATCTTATAAATCGTTCCCTGTCTGTTCCTCGGTTCGTCTTTGTCTTTAACGTTGGTTAGTAACTGACGTAGTGTGGTGATGGGTTTGTGGGCGACGCGGATATTGAAGGGTAGTAAGATGCGCGAGATGTTTTCAGACATGCCTTTTATGTACGGTATGGTTGCTGTTGTCGTAGGGGTTGCGGTGTCGTTTGTTTCGGTAGTGGTAGTGGGTCGGTGAGTGTTTCGTCGGATGAAGTCGTTGTTGTAGTTGTTCTTCGTGAAAACACGGTGAACGTATTTGTTCTCGTCGGCTAAGCTGTCTGTCGAGTCGCATACTAGTTGTGCGCGTCGTGTTAGAGTTCTGATAGTTGTGGCTTTGTGTGATGTAGGGTTGTAGGATGACTCGTCTAGTAATCTGTCGGTGTGTGTCGGTTTCTTGTAAACTGTTGTCCGTAATGAGTTATCGTTGTGGCTTACCATGAAGTCTAGAAAAGGAAGTTTGCCATTTTCTTCGACTTCTCTGGTAAACTGTATGTCAGTGTTTTGTTCATTAAGGTGGCGGTGGAATGCGTCAATTTCGTCGTGTCGAACGGCGGTGAAGGTGTCGTCAACGTAACGTAACCAAAGCGGTATCGTTTGTCGGCAAGTCGAAAGGGCGCGTTCCTCGATGTTCTGCATCACAATTTCTGCTATAACAACAGAAACTGGAGAACCCATGGCAGTGCCGTGTAACTGTTTGTAGCGTTTACCGTTGTACTGAAAGTAAGTAGACGTTAGGCAAATGTTAAGCAAGTCCATAATGTCGTCTGTCGGTAGCGGAAGTGGGTCGGTAGATTGTCGGATTGCAGTCTCAGTGCATTGTAGTGCCAATTGAAGTGGAATACTTGTGAACAGTGATTTCACATCAAATGACACTAGTTTGTAGTCGTCAGGTATCTGAACAGTCTTGGTAGCGTTAATGAAGTCTTCAGTGGATTGTAGTTTATGTCTGGATTTGTCGGTTAGCATTTGTAGTATTGTCGTCAGGTACTTGGATAGTTGGTATGTGGGAGAGCCACAGAAAGAAACAATAGGTCGCATCGGGAAACCAGGTTTGTGTAGTTTCGGCAAACCGTAGAGTTTCGGTGGCTGTGGTACTGAGCACCTCAGTCGATAGTACCGTTGGGTGTCAAAGGCGTTCGTTTTCTTGAGTGTCAGTAGTTTACTGTTGAGTTTACGTTGAAGTGCAGGAGTTGGGTCACGTTTGAGTTCTTCGTAGGTTCGTTTGTCGTTAACTAGTGCGTCCATTTTGTCGTGATAGTCAGTTTTGTCCATAACAACAGTAACTCGTCCTTTGTCCGCTGGTAGGATGACTATGTTCTTGTCATTTCTCAGTCGTTTCGGTACGCGTTGTTCGTCTTTAGTCAAGTTGCTGTCATTTAGTGACGTTGATTGTATAGTGGAGGCAATTCTGCTTCTGATGTTATCCTTGGTCGGCTCAGATAGCTCTCGTTGCCGAGACAGGGCCGCCTCAACACTAGATACAATAGCCTCGGTTGGTATGCGTTTAGGTGTTACTGGGTGTTTTAGTCCGTATGATAGTACCTGAGTTTCAGTCTTGTCTAAGGAACGAGAAGAAATGTTACTTACCCATATGCAGACTGATGTCAGGGTGCAAAGGGACTGATCTCAGGGTGCAAAGGGACTGATGTCAGGGTGCAAAGGGTTAAGGAGGCTCTTCATTGACACGACGCAAGTTGGGCACAGTATTCGAAGTTTAAGGAAATTTATCAACCTCGGCCACTACACAAAAACACCACTACAATAAGACAATCCATTGAAAGTTTAATGAATTTTAATGTTTTTTGCATCAAACGATAAATTTCAGTTACTATGGGATACTACATAGCAATCGGCTTTATGTACAAATGTATATGTTCTGCGCAGTGCGACTGCGCTACTGAATATCGCTAAATTGAGTGACTAACATCTGTCATAATCCTTAACATCTGTTATAATCCTTAACATTAGTCTTTCCCTGGTCTTAGTCCCTAGCGGAGAGCGTTTCTCGACTCTACCGGATCGTGGACTCATGGAAACTTGCACGGCAAGGGACTGAGTCTAGCCTTTCCATTAAAAAGATACCAATTTACCAAAGCTAACATGGTTTGCTCAAGTAACGAGCAACTCAAACAGTCAAGTTTATTTACATTTAAATTCCCTGAGTAATTTAATAGTCCCTGCACTTGCAAATGCCATTTAGGATGCTCATTTTCATTGAAAAGGGATCAATTTTTGACTTAAGTAAAAGAGAAAAATGGCGAATCTTCACGACAGGCAAGCTCTCACATTTCACAAAAATATTTCTGCATCAGAGAAATCTGCCCACATCGCACAGTTCTCAAGGTACGAAAATCTTCCGGCTTCAAAACAAACAAATTAAATCCTGATGCTTGGAACTATAGATAACCTTCAGATATTTCGATGAAAGAAGTATGATGTAATGCAATGGTTCACTTCGTCTTTCTGACTGACTTGAATTTTTTAATTAAAGTCGGACCTTTCCTGTCAAGCTTTGACGATTTACGAACTCATTGACTAAAAAAACACAACTTAAACAAACTGACGCTGGTTTTACTTAAATTAAGCTCATCTCAGACGGGTTTTCTCAAAGAAGATTACTTTAAAATCCGTGATAAGGATCTGCTGTCTTTCTAACATGCAAATTTAATAATCATGAAGTTAAGTTTTTGTAAAGACCGTAGTTTGGCGCTAACTTGAAATACAATATTTACTTGCGTACAAAGCTTGACGTTAGATCAAACAAAATGACACAAAGTGTTCGACGTTAAAACTCCATGAACACGGTTAGCTCCGGATTCACCTCCCTGTGAGGTTGCCTCTGTCCCTTCCGCCGGAAGTCATAAAGAAGGATCCCTTTCCAATAATCAAATAACAAAATCGTAATTCTACTTATCACAATGCCGGAACACATTTAGAGATACTGGTATGCGTATTCTCTATGTGCATGCAGAAAGCAATTGACTGAAGTCACTTCATTAGTGCTGTTGATTTAAGTGTTGTTTAGCTATGCCAAGTTTTACTTGCTGTCTAGTCAAAGTTCGGTACCAGTATGTAATTCTAACGGTCAAAATACGTATCAACTAAATTCTATTTAATTCACTAAGCAATACACAAGGATATCGTAAATAATCTCTGCCTGTCCTGCAGGCCCTCTGACTCTATAAAGGAAATTTTTCTAAGTTCTCTTAATTAACCCAAATAAAATATTTAACTTAACAACATCAGTATATCATACTAGTAGATTATTGGCTTCTTTTCACGCGTTGAGTGTAAACTGACGGGCAGCAAAATGTAGATTTTTCTCATTTAACATATTAAGTATCCAGATATCTTACAATCGAACTTAAACGCTCCGGAAGAAAGTCTATTTCTGGACTCTCTGTCACACAACACTCGCTGGAGAGAGAGAGAGTAAAGTCTCCCCCTCAAGAGTTGCGTGACAGAAAATATGGGCCAGAACGGGACTCACTCTAACAAAAGAGCTGAGATTCTTCCTTAATGATTCAGCGTGAGGTTTTCATAAGCTTTACTCGCTTGTTATTACCATAACATATATTAAATCACTTCATATTTCTATATCTGCCTAGCCATCAGTTACGAATGATAAAATGATCTAGGGAGATACGTTAATATTCTACTACTCCCGCCCCAATGAAAATGAGAAATATTAGGTAAGTCGCACGATTGATTATAACGTTAAATCTGTTTATCTGATTTATTCCAGTGTTTAAAAAAATCTTATGTTTTCTGTAAGTTTTATACAAGTATGTAATAAGTTAATTTCTATGGTTAGTTTGTACCTAAACTGATCATACAGAAATCCCTTGGAGGTCTGGACAAAGTAATAAACAAATAAAAAAAGAAAAATGTATCGAGATGCAAACAGAAATCACTTACTTAAAAACTCCGGTAAAATTTAGACTGCGACCATAATAATGGACTTACGTAAAATATTCATGACAAATCGAGCAATAACTGCTGCACTGACAAACTGCTCCACACATTATGAAAATGGCAATAAGCGACGAATAAAAGCTTAAAAATTATCTAGAAAATGCATTCAAAACCTGTTGAAATGTTTATCTAAGTGGGAGAAACATTTACCAAGGTAAAATACTAATAAAGTGATACACTCCAAATATTCCCCTTTTTAAACTTTTGGGAAAACATCAAATGAAAAAAATTATGTATTAAAGCTGATGCAATCAAGCTTGCACATAACAAAAAATTAAAGTAATGGAATATACTGTGTAAACTGATAAGTCCTGTAGCGGATGCTAAGACGATAGGCTATTTCCGAATTACCCATGGCCCCTTTTTCAAAATGAGGCCTGGTGCTAAGCCATTCTGGTAAAAGTGAGTTAACTTTCATGTGAATGAAAACGTATTAACATATAAAAGGATGAGCACCAGGACTCGCTTTGAAGACAAGGCTAAAGGTAACTCGGAAATGGGGTATCTAAATGTTGACCTCGTTTTTGACGTACTGTTAGGGACACTAATCCCAGCGGTGTGGTACTGTTCACATTTTGTCTTCAAGCGAGCGATATCATCTGTATCGTTGAACGTTATCCGTACTTCAGATGCAAACGTGAGAACCAACTATGCGGACGTCTGTGTGCCTCAATCTGCAGAGGGTATACTAGGATTCTTCATTCACTTCCTCACAAGGCATTTACATCTAAAGACAACAAAAAGAGGTTAAAAACAGCAGATCAGAGTACATTGACCAGGACTGTCAGACAGTTTGCACATGCCACGAACAATGTCAAAAAAGTTTCAAGCGAGACCCAATTGGTCTTTTTTGTCTGAGGAAAAAAATTAGACTCAATTAAATTTCAAGGTTATCTCTGATTAATGATCAGTGCTCGAAATTGCAGGTGGAATCTGGACAAAATATCTTCTCACAGTCCTGAAGTTGTAATAAATCCATATCACTTAGCTTGTTATCTGAGATTTTAAGACAAATGCAAGGAGACAAAGTTACAAGATTCTCATCGTTTGATGAAACAAGTGTTCTCTTTATTATAAAAGACCCACTCCTGCCCTTTGCCACTTCCTTCGCGCTAATATTAGTGCAAAAAAACTTGCAACCAATCCATAAACTTTTACCGTGCAAAACAAAACCAATCAGGACTTAGTCACTGGCATTTTAGAGCGCTTTCGATTGAGTGTCGTTAAAACCAAAACGAAAGCAATAAAAAAAAAAATGTCACCAGGAGAACTCGAAGTAAAAACAAGCTAACTGCCCGAAGCAGAGGAAAATCGCGGGTGACCAAGTCTTGATTGGTTTTAGCCTTGCATCTGACTGGTCGAGAGGTTGGCACGAGTTTTCTGGCCAATCATGACAACGAAAACATCACCAGGAGGACTCGAAGTGAAAACAAGTACAAGCTAACTGCCCGAAGCGCGGGAAAACGCAGGTGACCAAGTCGTAATTGGTTTTAGCTTTGCATCTGATTGGTCGAGACATTGGCGCGAGTTTTCTGGCCAATCATGGCAACGAAAATATCACCAGGAGAACTCCAAGTAAAGACAAGCTAACTGCCCGAAGCGCTGGAAAACGCGGGTGACCAAGTCGTGATTGGTTTTCGCCTTGCATCTGATTGGTCGAGAAGTTGGCGCGAGTTTTCTGGCCAATCATGACAACGAAAATATCACCAGGAGAAACTCAAAGTGAAAACAAACTAACTACCCGAAGCGAGGGAAAACGCGGGTGACCAAGTCGTGATTGATTTTAGCTTTGCATCTGATTGGTTGAAGGGTTGATGCAAGTTTTCTGAACCAATCACGTAGCAAAGTTACTTGAGCCCTCATCAGCTCCTTGCGATATTCTTCTTTGTTCCGATTGGCTGTTGTGATTATTCAGGTTGTGTTTATGCGATAATCAATCGTACTGCGCTCTTTTTACAGAGACACACAAAAAAAATTACGATAAAATCAAGCACCCTTCATACACAGCATTTCGTTACCTTCGAATATTTGTGTTTCAAGTGAGGACCTTTTTCACTTCTTCGCTACCTCATCTCCAGCTTCGGGCATGATTTTGCACATCACAATCTTCTTGCCTTGATTTCCGTAGACAGTAAGTGGTTCAGTAAATCGAATGTTCTGATCGACGTAAAGGCACAGTTTCTCATATATATCAGGATAGTCATTTTTCAACCTGATTCCGTACTGTTTCAAATTCTTCGAAATGTTTCTGCAATAGTGCCTGCGAGCTTCATTCTCGTTTACAAATTCATGCCGAGAACACTTTGGGAGGTAGAAGAACTTCGTTTCAGTCTTCGGTTCGCTCGGAGGTGAGGGTGCAATTTCCTCCTTGAGCTTATTGCTCAAGGGAACTTTGACAACTTGAAGAACTGTATTTACTTTTCTTCGTGGGACGGGACTTTCTGGAAGGTTGTCCATCTTGCCAGCAATTATGGCGAGATTGAGGACAAATTCTTCCTCAGGATTGTAGTCTTTGATGTGTTGGGTTAAAGCGACTCGGTGCTTGCTCACAACACCTTCGGCTTGAAGATCAGTCAATGATGAATACGTCGGGGGACTGGGGAAGAATGTACAACCAGTCGTCATAAATTTCCGCGCAGATTGTGCAGAAGCGAAAGTCACCAGCACGCAGCCACGCCCTTTCCTCTTGAACCCCTCTCTAGCCGCTTTAGAGAGCTGGAATTTCAAAGCTTCTTTCTTGTGACATAAATAAATAAAGGAGCGTATGTAGCTGTTAATACGACCAAAGAAGCAAACTTTCTTGTGCTCGGACCAGTGAATGCGCCTGCACATTCTGTTGCAATAGTAAGTAAAGCAAGCTGGACATGAAGTGTAAGTGGTTTTCTCGCCAGCATATAAAGCCTCCTCTCGCCCACATCGAGGATTAGAACACTTGATAACAGTCATTGAGCCCCTGCGCAGCCCCATGTGGGGCGTATCCCCTGCGAATGAGAACTCCGACATTGGGCTCCCAGGGCGCGTCGATAATGTTGATGAATTCACTGATATGTCATCAGGAAAGTCTCTTTCTCTGTCATCAGCTAATGACATGAAACTGGCGTCGATGTTAGCTCCAGGTTGAAAGCGATTTGAAGGATATAGGAACAAATCTGAGGTCATCAGATCTTCTTCGTCTTGTTGTCCGCTGTCGTCCATCCACACGTTTTGACTGAGCCACTTTCGAGTGTGAGCGCTCAATCCACGCAAAAATGGCGACTCGGTTATCTGGTTGCCTTTCCTAGACAAATCAGGCATCGATTTTCGGCTATCCGCGGCTTCTTTGAACCTTTCTTTGTCTATATTGAGGCCTGGTAACTGCACGTCTTGGAAACTTGCTCCCAGGCCTTTCCTTTGCAAGCCAGGTGCCTGTTGTTTGCTCTCCACGCTTGGCTCTTCGTTAGACTTGTGACGAGAATGTTCTGACCTTGCACGAGGACGACGAATCTCCGTCGTTCGTGAAATCGAAACAAAAGCGGACGTAAACTCGCTCGGTTTGTCGATAACTGCAGGACGAGAGTGTTCAGGTGTTCTGTACGAAAATGATTCATTTTGCGAAATGTCGTTCGTCTTCAGTTCAGGTGTGGTGGAACCCGAGGAAGTTTGTTTCTTGTCATTCTCCAGCTCGGCAACTGGCGTCGCCGTTTTGGAAGAACCGCTTGAATCAGAGCGATTTCGAACTCCGATGTTCCCTGCTTCGAGCGACGATCTTGTGTGCCGATGTCGTTGTTTTAGCGGTAAACTACTCACAGATGACGTTTCAGAGTCTGCATCGCTGCTATAGGAATGAGATGAATTAGCGCTGTTAGGGTCAATACCCGGGGGGTACTCCTCCAAAAACACCTCATCCAGTTCATCTTCTTCACAACCATCATTCACCGGGAAAGCTGTTATCACAGCGGATTCTTCCTTATCAGCTGCCTCCGCAAGAATAACAGGTTCCAAGACCACCGGATCGTCGGCAATGACCTGACGTATCACGACACCATCCTCTTCTTCATAGCTGTTGATGCGAATGACCTTCTTTGGAACCGGACCCATGTGCGCTCTCACTTGAACTCTCTCGGCGACTTCATGTTTGTCAGGACTTCGAGGCGGAGATGTCCCTTCTGCCGGTGGAACAGCTTGCTGAGCCAACAAAGCGTCTAGATCTGTGACCATAATGCGACTTTCTCCCAGAGGTTCTCCATACAATTCATCTTCCAAGCTACTAAGACTGCTCAAACTACGTTCCTTAGGTCCTTCCTGTACTGGAATAGGAGCGCTGGACAGAATCACACCACCTGTATCGTTATCTCTAATTTCTAAGCTTCCATAACCAGACTCGCGACCCTGACGGCGAGTGACATCCGCAATAGGCGTAACTTGTGACGCCGAAGTTTCATAGTCCTTTACCGTTGGCTTTGCTCCTGTTGTCGTTGACAAAAACGGTCGAGCAATCATCTCGTCAACCCCTGGTCGTGAGTCTTCTACAGGGCTTACGCGCGCGACATGCACTTTAATCCTGTTACCCTTTGTTGCTGGCTCCGAAATTTCTGTAACTGTTTCGCGTTCTAGTCGCGGAAAAGCTTCAACCACTGGCGATACTCTTGAAACGCGAACTTTTTTCTCCTGCGTTTTCTCCTCTTTATTTTCTCTTTCCGTAATAAACGCATTTCCTAAACGAGTTTCAGGATCGCTTGGTGAAATCTTTGTCACGCGCGCTTTGACATCTTGCTTTACAGGTTCCTTTTCTTTCAGTTCTACGGTGGTCTCTCCATTCTCTGTATCGGTTTCGCGCAATACTGGCATAACTCTAGCTTTAATCCTGGTCGGCGTGTTATTTTCTGGGACGGATTCGTTGTCTTGCACAGCGGTCACTTTAAGAATGGGTGATCTGTGCGGTAGCGTCAATTTTGGTTCAGATCTTCTCTCGCCCATTTCCGGTAATGAAAGTCGACCGTGGCGAGTTTTGACTTGTACGACAGGTACTATTTTCGGACCATCCTCCTCCTCAACCCTTTCCTTTTCCTCTTGAAGGCTTGTCATTGAATTCCCTAAGTCGCTACTCCTCCTGAGCTTGTTGTCCAAAGCCTTGTTGAGGGAATCGAGATCATTCAGAGACTTCCATCTTGCTTTTCCATGCACTTTCTTCTTGACGTTTAAAATAATAATCCTCTGTTTGTCGCCTACGACCTCTTGCACGGTAATTTTAGCAGTGTGAAGAGATGGGGGCTCAATCGACTCGATGGCATCATCCCCGAAAACACTGTTTGCAGGTGAGCCTAAACTACTGGTGGGCGTCTGAGTATCAGGTACCTCTTCGGTCGGGTCTTCTTCTTTGATACTATCCTTCCGTATCTCGTGCGCTTTTTCAACGAACCTGAGATCTTCATGGCTCTTGCTCAGTCGTATGTTACGCGAAGAGAGGTACTTCTTTTGAGACTTCTTCTCCAAAGATTTAGTTGGTGATGTCCTTGGAGACCGAACCCTCCGACTTTCTCTCCCCTCTGTGGTTTCTTTACCTTGAACACTTATCGTAACGACAGGCGATTCCACAGGTACTGTAGGAGTTTCTTCCTCTAAAATAACTGGCTTTTTTTCGTTATCCTGTGAATTTCTCTGTGGTTCTTTAGTGTTCTTGCCCGATATAAACATTTTTAATCCAACATTTGCTCTGGAGGGCTTTCTTTCTATTTCATCTTTTATATCAGTCTTGGTTCCATTTGTCACGGATTCTTTTCTCTTGTCGCCACTAATGTCAAAATCTTGATTGTCATCCAAAGGAGATTCATTGTCTTTGAGTTTCTTGGGGGTCACTTTCGGCTCCTTTTTTCCTGGGATTTCTTTTTGTTCGTCTTTTGTGGGCATTCTCTCCAACAGTTGTTTGATTTCCCGTTTCGGAACATCCACTTCGACAAGTGCAGAGGATGCAGTCACCTTTACATTTTCAAGCGCTTTATTTGTTGTGGATGAAGGGTCGACGCTTGATCCTTTAATTTGTTCACGTACTCTGGTGTTGCGATAAGTCATGTCACGTTTTGCAACATCGGCTCTGACAGATGACTCGCTTGTTTTAGGTGACTCGGAAGTTGCTTTAACTTCGGAGTTAAGGTCGACACTCCTTTCATTATTTGGTGCCGGTAATCGTTGCGTGACTTCACTCTTAGTGACGTCGCCTTCCGCGGGTAACGCTCGCGCTTTGACACTTTTGGGATCAGTTCTTGAGTCAGGTTTACGGGAAGCTTTATCTCGGTTCGCATTTGAAGGTAGTTTGTCCAAATTATCCTTAAGGTCGCGTTTCGGAGTGTCTCGTGTCCCGGATGGTGATACACATGCTGAGTTACTCTCAGTCTCTGGTAGCCCGTTCGCTTTCACCTTGTCCTTCTGCTCGAGTGGTTGCGACAAGGCTTGCTCCGCTTCACGCTTGAAGAGGGTTTCCACAGATGAGATACGTGACTCAGTAGTCTTAGTCACGCTTCTCAGCTCGAGATGAGGCTTGATATGCATTTGATCTTTCTGCGTGGGTGACTGCTCTGAATGTTTCGTTGTGTCACGTTCCGTGTCGGCGACTTTCGCAGAAGAAGAATTTTTCTTGATAGACTCAGGCGCAATAATTTTTTCGGCTTTCTTTTCAATTTCCTGTGTGTTTTCCTTTGTAGCCTGCTGAAAAAGGGGACTTTTTCTCGCGCTTTCTTCTTCAGTCTTAGTCAGGTGTTGCGCGACTTGCTCTGCGATGTCCTGATTTGGGGAAGAGGCTTCCACGGTTGAGACGCGCGCCTCTATCACCGCTTCGACAGACTGGGGCTCGATCTTGGGTGCAACCTTCGTTTGTTCGCTTGTTGCAAGTGGTTGCGTGACAAGTTGCGTGACACGTTGTGTGACGTCTCGATCTGAAGCAACAGCTCTTGTGGCCGAAATTTGCTCCTCGATGACTTTTGGTTCAGGTTTAAGCGGCGTATAAAGATCTTTTTTGGTGGTGGTATCCATTTTCTTATCGTTAACTCGAGAAACGTTGTACTGCCCCTCCACAAAGTTCAACGGCTGCGTAATATGGCAAACTGGACCAATCTGGGTTGTAGTGAAATTGTAAGCAGAATGCTTCTTTGCTTCGCTGCATTCCTGAATTATTTCTTCCTCTTTAGCTTCTTTCTTTAAAGCTTCATTAATTGCATTGACTTTTTCTTCCTTTTCATCCCTGCAATTTGTAAGTTTATCAGAGTCTCCATTCAACTGTTTAGAGCTTGAAAGCAAAGCTTTCTCATCTTTTGTGACCTTCACCTCTTTCCTGACAACTATCTTGATTTTCTTCACAATTTTCACAGATCTTGTATTCTCAACCGTGACATTATTTCCATTAGTTGCAGTCACGCCAGAATCAGGCTTCTTTAAAGTTGTGTCTTCAACTCCGCCATTATCCGTGAGGCTGTTCGTGGCGTGATTTTCAGTAATGACATCGCATTCAATGTCACGGTTCTCTCTCACGCCATCATTTGGATATATAATTTTGTCAGAGACATTAACAGGTCCTTTGAAGTTCATTTCTTCACCGTTTACAAGATTCAAAACATCATTCAGACCGCCATTTTCAATAACGTCTTTATTGGTGAAAACTTCCGCTAATAAATCAGGTTCTCCAAAATCTTTTTCCTCGTCACTTTTGTCTGTCACGCCGTTCTCTGTCACGCCATCGTGAGTAAAAAGGTCGCCTGGTTTTGTCTCTTGCCTAGTTGCAACATTGACTGCGACAATTTCCTCGCTTGATTTCTCTGTGTCAGATCCGCTGCGATCTTCTTCGAGGTCGAGATCGTATTCTGAATCACTTGCATCCACTGTAGCGATAGGAGCTTTGAGTTCCATCGACGCTTCCTTAGAAACACTCGACTCATTATCATGACTGTAATTGGTTGTTCTTGGCTGGACACACGGATAGCTTTTTGTTCCCTGATTTACCTCTATCAATCCGATCTCTTCGTCTTCTGGGATCGTAAATAGAAAAGGTTTCCGTACACGTCTGTATTCTTCCGCAAATACTGACCAATCCTCCCCGAAAAAGTCAAGATGAATGTCTTCAGGTTGATCCTCATGGCCCTCGTTCAGTTTAGACAACACTAATTCACCATAAACACCATCCTTTTGAAATGAAATGTCATCCATAAGTGTTTCCACGGCGTAACTCTTATGTGGAAGATCGTTTAATTCAGCCTCTTCGAGGTCCTCGATAGTTTGCTGTTTATCTAAACAATCGCTTAGAGTTGAAGTGATGATAATTGATTTTTGAATATTCATATTTGATTCATCTTCGGAAGATGTTGCCTCAGTTGCATAATTAGAGCTATTTGTTTCTTGGTCTTCTGACATTACCGTATCCGTTGTTGAAATAGCAACCACGTCCTCCGAGGAATTCTGTGGTTCTTCTTCCGAGAGATCCGTCTCTAACACAACTTCGCTAGACAAATCATTCGTCTCGGCTTGTCCCTCTTCTGAGATTATCTTGTCTAGGTCTGTCACGGAAACATGTCTCTTAAAATAAATGCTAAATTCACCTTCTTCACCGAGTTCGTCGCTATCCATCAAGTCAACATCGTCAATATCGATATCGGTTTCAAACGTGTCGCTGACGAACGAGTCCGCATACCGCGAAGCAGTTTCATTTCCATTCATGTCGATTGATTCCTCGTTAGGAATTAACTTATCACTTTGCAAACCATCGTCATAAGAGTCGATAATTATTTTGGGAACTTCGACTTTATCCGATTGTTGTTTGTGACTCGAAATTCCCTTCTCTGACGAAGCTGCTTCATCGCTGCCAGACATGGAAAAGAATGTCCACGAGTGAGTCGTGTGATTATTTGATTCCGCTATTTCACCCACGAAACCGTTCATTTTAAATTCACCGAGATCGCTTTTGTTTATGTTCATCGCAGTACCTGTTAATCCGCTGGTGTCTTCCGTAGGAACCTTACTAAGCCTCGAATACAGATCCTTTGCAATGTTGTCATGGGCATGGACTTCATTCTCCGAATGTTTGGAGCGGATATCACGCGTGAAATCGTCCTCGACGCCATTCTCGGGAGCACGGGAAACCCTTGCCTCATTCAGTGCGCATAATTGGGGTTCTTCGGTCTCATTTGCATCTTGTTCGAGCGTCGGCGTAGGATCACAGTTAGGTATTGTAAACATTGAGGTGCTTTCGATCACATCGCCATTCAGCTGAGGTTTATCGTCCTGTGGCGATTCTTCGTTACCTTTACCCGAGAAAGCGTCGAAATTACCGGAAGTGAAATGTGCAACTTCTTCATATTTGGATGTTTTCGCGCTTGCTTGCGTAGCACTATGAAGAGCTGGGTCAATTGAAGGGATACTTTTGCGATTTTCTGTATCCTTTACTAGACAACTATCGTCGTTTTGTCGAGATAGTGAAGACGTGCCATTTAGCTCTGTTTTTATCGGCTCGGGAATCATGTAAACTTGCGCTGTGATGTCAACAGTTTCAGATGCGTAAAGTGAGTTGGTCTCAGCAGGTTTTAGAGGCAGAATAGCATCTTTCGTCGCAGGCTCCTGTCTTTCAAAGGCTGTGGCAATTTTCGTTTCCGTCTTAGAGTAATCACATTCCACGTCCATTGATATTTCTGAGAACCCGCCATATTTATTGACAAGACCCTCAGTGTTTACAGTTGACAAATTGACAAAGTCTTCTTGAAAGCTGTCGCGATCAGTTTCCTGAGACCTGTCGCTGCTTTCTGTATCAGTTTCCCCATCAATTTCTTCTTCTTCGACAATACTTGGTAAAAATCCAGGGAAAATGAGATCCATATTTTCCATCGAGTGCCGTCTCCCGGCTGCCAGGCCACTTGGGCATTCAGACGACCCGTCATTGTCATCAACCCAGCCATAACTTGAATAGTGAATGTGAATTTCATCTTCAATGTACTCGTAAACGCTTGAATCTTCTTCTGTTTTCCTAGAGACAGACACCACAGGATTTTTACTAGATTCTTTAGAAATATCGCCTTTAAACTGCAAATCTTCGCTTAAATGTTCGAGAATTCTCTTCGCTACAACCTCTTCTCGATCGGTTTCATCGGTGATCTGTCGACCGGCAGATTTTCGGATCGGAGCGATCTCTGTGATGTAAAACCACACGGTTACGATGAGCAAAAAAGCGAATGCGAACGACCAGAAAACGATAGATATTTCCCCGTCTTCCACTTCCTCAGGGATGTATTCGTCCTCGAGCGAAATCATCTCTATCATCCACATGCTGTCGGGTGTCGATCGGCGAATTGCTGAAACAATAATTTTTCCGCTTTCCACGGTGATGGAACAAAACCTTCCCAGTTGGGTAGACTCGATGTAAACACTATAGAAATCAAGCTCTTTAGAGCTACATTGGAGCAGTGCTACTGGAAATTTAATCTTCTTGATAGCCCCGTCTCACAAACAATCGCCTCTGTTCAAGGAAAGCGGACCGTGCAAAGCAACCCGTAGATTTGCATAAGAATCGATGGCCCTAAAGCTTATCATTGAATCGTAGAATTCGATGCATTGTCCTCAGTTTGGATAGCCACCCGTTTAATAAACGGAAAGTTTCCAACGACCCATTGCTGCCAAGTCATGAAAAATGCATCACCACCTTCACTTTAACTTAAATGGCGTCTCTACAGAGGATTACAGTTATTATCAAAGCGTTTTCCGTCTTGTTTATCTTGGAGTAAAACAATCTTTTGTTAGGTTCCAAGCCACGTGAACGAAACAATAGCACTACTTGCGTGAGTACGTAATCGTTCCAAAAAAAAAAATTCTTTTTAACGCTGGTGATAGCAACATTCGTAGGAGACACTACCGTTTTCGATTAACGTCGCCTAGACGGCACAAACAGGTCGACACGAGGATAAAGAAGATCTGGTTTAAAGTAATGCTGCGTCGTATCCATTTCCAACTGCTGGAATTTAATTTATTAATAGTTCGACGACAAGAATGCACGCGATGGCAAAGAGCGTTCCCCTTCAGTGAGCATTAGAAAGTTCTTAACGAGAAAACGGCTTTGTCGAGCTCTATCATTAATTATCCTTTTAGCAATTAGTTATTCAAGGCTGGAACAAAGTTGAAGTGAATTTATTACTTCTTCAGACGTGTTTTAAATTGCAAAATGTTGACAAATACTCAAGAGCGATTAGGAGGTCTTGCCACATAAACCAAACCGGATACGAACACGCGTCAGAACAAACCAGCTTTAAAAAATCCTTTGAAGTTTTAAGCATCGCAATTTCTTGTGGTTGATTTGCAAAGAAATTTGCAAATTTTGAGCTGGATAATGGTTAAAATAATTGCCAAAATGACGGCCATTGTCAAAAACAAAATAAATGGGGCAGCCAAATTGTTTTCCAAGGAAAAAAAAAAGTCACCATCAATTTTATTTAATCGAAATAAAAAATTTTTTTTGAAAAACAATTCGCACGTAAAAGTCACACATTTGCCAGGAGAAACTTCTGTGTCCTTAAAAACTCAATATTTATCGACGATGACTTAAGATAACGACAAAAATTTTGCGTATTTTATTAGGTTGTTCATTACTGTATGGAAACGACGCGGGAACTCTGGTGAAACATAATCAAAGCCAGACCCCCACAGATGCAGTCATTACACATCCTACGGTGAAGACAAGTTTTGGGGGAACCTGCTCAAGTGACTGATGATCGTAAAACAACTGATCCTCTCATTTGGAGTTCAAGTACAATACCCTTCTTTGTTCCGGCAAACCTTTTGAATGCAAATGAAGGAAATTTTGCTAATCGTTTGGGCAGACGAAAAAAAGAGGAAGAAGTGGTGGACAGGGAACACAAAACCTTGAAGCTATGTGACGATTTACGATGGAGAATGGGACAACAATAACAGCAGGGAATACTAACACGTTTAGAGCAAACATTTGGTTTAATACAACTTGAGGAAAGATTACAATATTTCGGGTCTATTATAGAGTCTGAGTGGTTATGTAATCACAATCGAAACAAGTTTCATGGAAAGTTTGCAAGCCAAGGCTTGTTTCGATTGTAATTTCATTACTATACGCCTGGCAGGGATGAACATGACTTCGATGGCTGAACAGAAAACTCATCCAAACCTACAGTTTCGATTTATTATATTTCCTTTTTAATAAAAGAAAAAGTTAAGATCGACGAACTTGACATTACATTTTCATGCGATCAGTCCATGAAACTGAACTTCGAACAAGCCCCAAAGACACGGTGTCCATACACAGAGGGGATAAAGACCTACGAGAGGTGAAATTTATTCATGAGGGTCTTTAGAACGTCATACAGAACGGGGCAAAAATGTTTACTTTGTACTTTGTACTGTCTTAAGTTTGCAGATTGTTCGTTAGACAAATTACGTTTGTAAAAATGTCCTTTTATTGTCTTCACGAGAGTTCTCAGTTCTATCAGTATCAGTTTTGAAACAGTTAAAATGAATAAATACAAATTTTCGCCTTATCAGAATTTGTGAATTTAAGTGACCTGGTATTTATGTAAACTGATGTCGAACAAACTTGCTAGTCATCAATTCAGATGCTGTGCAATTATCTTGATTGATTTTTCTTAAAATTTTGCTAAGAAAAGGGAAGGAGAGGGTTATAAACAAAGTAAGCCGATTCTCCTCTTCGAAGTACTACCTTTCACTAGCTCGCTTGCTTTCTTTCTTTCTCTCTTTCGCGATATTATTCACTTCAGTTATTATGATAATTCAAGAAGACAGCTGAGAATTATTTCACAACTCTAAAATAAACTTGGAATCTGAACAATAATTGCTTTCCACATTTTCGTTTTGGTAGTGTTAATTAATCCTGCCGTCAAAATGACAGCAATCTTTTGTATGCCACACTCGACGTTGCGTGTTAAGAAGCGGACTAAAACTCCCTTGGGCAGATTAATTCGGGAGGCGAGACGGGTTTGAACCACACGTGTGGTATTGTAAGTTAATCTCTCGGTTTTTGCTTCTGTGATAGATTATAATGATTGCTGCAAAACACTTCCTTTTAAATTGGATATATCAACAAAGTTGAAATGGTAAATTGGCCACCGTAATGATTACAAAAGCTGACGTTTCGAGCGTTAGCCCTTCGTCGGAGCTTTTGTAATCATTACGGTGGCCAATTTACCATTTCAACTTTGTTGATATATCCAAATTATTTCGTTACTCCCACCGACGCAGCCCCAAACAGTTTCTTTCGAAACTATCAGCCCTTACTTCCTTTTAAAGCCGGAGAATTGAAAGCATGGCGACCGATACAATAGCTCTGTATACTTTCAGAAATTATCGATCTTATTGTAATTGTTCTCTTATCACAAGGTCTATGTTTGATGAAGCAAAAAAAAGAGCTCACGAAACTGGAAAAAGAAAGGTGGAGCAAAATTCTGCCACCGAACTAACTAAATATATCATCTTACTGTCCTTTTCACAAATTTCTCAATTTTATTCGTGAATGGATATTCTTTTTTTTTTTTAACAATAAACGTTTGTAATGTGAACGGCGAGATGCTCTCTAACATATGCTATGAATTATAATTACATGGGGCTGAAAATATATAACTAGACAAAAAAGGGGGGTTTTCCAATGAAAAGGTCAAATAATGAAGAAATTACTTGGTGCTCAGATGACATCGTGAAAAATTTCCTATCAAGTACACCTCTCAAGAATAAAAAACGATCATGCCAAAATAACATTTTTTTTTTTTGCCGATGGGTTTAGAAGATCCTGGAAAAGTGATTGGCTCTCTCTCAGTAATGCAGATGCAAATTACTCAGAGATGGAAAATACACAAGTAAAAGCACTTACGATCCACATTTTTGTTCTTATGCCAGAAACACTTTTCTTATTATGAAAAGCAATGTTTACCACCTGAAATAGAATAAATTATTTCATGTGTGACCTGTACTTAGAGGACTGAACCTCGTTAAAGAGACGACATGCAATAAATGAAAGTCACTCTATTTTACTCTCTTCTTGATTTCATACCAGCTCTTACATAAAAAATTTAAGCTAAATTCTTGAAATGAACCCAAAGAGTCCCCAAGCGACTGAGAACGGGAAGAATGTCGTGGAGAGCCGAGAAATTTCCCAATGGCGTATCCATGGCATAGCTGGCGACCGGACGTCTCTCCAGCATGCCCCTCCCCCGCTCCATCATAATGCTTTGACTCTTTTATTGGATCGCAGATTGCAATATTAGCAATTAATGGGTACTTGAAAACCGAGATTGGTACCATGGAAGGATCACGTGCCATACTTTCCTCTTTGAAATGTGAAAGCTGGAAAATTTCATTTTTAGCCTTAAGCAGGAGCCTATCACTGGATGGGCTCCTGCCTTAAGATAATATCTTGAAGCCCTCGCGCAAGATATTTCTTGATCTGATCGATCCTGTTTCCTGACTAAGTGATTCAAGGCGAAATATTTTTCTCTAGGTATACTTAGCCACCTTGCAAAGGGAGAGAATGCGAAATAAAATCCCAACAATTGTGGCTTTGCACTCAAATAATGTCCTCCCACCCTCGTCTTCGCAAGGCGCCAGTCACGCATTTGTTGCGGAGAATCGGAAAAAGTGAGATATGAGAAAATAGAACATTTTGAAACAGATAAAACGAAATATAAAAAGAAAGAAAACCAAAAAAAGAAAGATAAAAAAATAATAAAAGTCAAAAATTATAGATCTGTTGTCAACAGAAAAACCTCTGAATGCCTGATTTGTACTTGACGTATCACGAAAGTTGTAACACTGAAAACGATCTTCGATGCAATGTCAGCTTCACATTAGATATAGAAATACCTAATGGTTTTTAACTTCAATAGAGACTAATTCAGTCTAGACAGCCTTTTTACATACAAGACACAAAAAAACTTAACCGAGGGCAATATTTGCATGGTATTCGTTTCTGCGAAGGATGACATGTCTGATCACGTCAATCTATACTTCCGGTTCATCTCTGAATTAGAGCTGATATATTAAACACGTACTCATTAAGAATTATCCCAGGGAGAAGACTTTCGAGCACATGATCCAGTTGTTTGAGTATAAATCTACTAGTTCCGCAAAACATAACAATAAGACAGATTCGTGTTTTTATTAAACAATGGCATAAAAAGGTCACGGAACTCGCTCGCCCCTGAGTTTAATCAATCACTATCTTGCATCACGAGTTGGTGTAATACCATTAGAGTCTAGTAGAGCTCTATCGCAAATGCTGTAATTTGATTGGTAAAGCTTCTCATCATCTCGCCTGATGGAGTTGTAAACAAATAAAATAACAAAACACGAGCCTGTCTTGCTGTCAAGGTTTGAACGACTCAAGGAGTTATACTTAAACAGTTGGATGCGGATGATTCATTCTCGATATCTATGCGTGATATGGTGGATTCGGCCTTTGCTCTCATTAACAAACACGAACGAAATCTCGAGCTCATATCGACTCATATCCTATATTGTTAAATATTCGCCTCTTATTACTTTCAACTTAGGATCGGCTTGCATCGTATGTTTTGGTTCTGCTCCGGTTTGAAGTTGCTCCCCGGTTCTGGCTAAACTTCACAATACCCAGCCACTCATTTACATGTCATTAAATAAGAATAGCGTCTATTGTGTTAGGCCTCGTTCTTCAAAGCCTCTCGACACATTTAAATGAGGTGGACGGGTATTCTGAAGTTGCTCCGCCTGTTCCGATCGCTTGAGCTTTTCATTGGACGATCGAAGGTGGGATTATCATGATCTTCGATGGGATTAGCAGACCAATATAATTAATCTTAATAAACTCGAGGTAATAAACTTACGGATGAATTCATGTACACACAAAACAAAAGAGCTTTAGGGTAAATGTGAGAAATAACAAATCAAGAACTTGTGGTGTTCGTTCCCTCGGGAAACAAATCTTTACAATAGATGGATCATCATTTGCGATGTTTCTCGATTCCGGCCATTTTGATAGGTGGGAAACGTATTGAAACGTATTCTTGTAAGGATCTAAGGAGGGTAGCCACATGTAATAAATGTTAATAGCCCATTTCCGAATTACACTTGCCTCTTTTTCAAAACGAGGCCTGGTGCTCAACCATTCTTGTGAAAATGAGTTTAATTTGCATATGAAAGGATGAGCACCAGGGCTCGTTTTGAAAATGAAGCCAAGGGTATTTCGGAAATGGGCTATTCTCTTCGCAATTTGACCTCAGGCCTGGTTTGACCCATTGTTCAAAATAAAAAAGACATCTGAAAAGGCCATTTTTTAAATTCAATTTAACCATGAGGATGAGTTTCAGTCTTATCTCCAAAGTTTCTACTGATATATTAGTGTCAATCATTTCTGTCATGAGTGTTCCTTTATATCTCAAGTAGCCCCCATAGAGTCAGAGTGTTTTCATTTGTTTCATGCCCCGGCAAATATTTCCTTTCCAATTTGTTCAGTGATTTTTGTTAAGAAGCTGGGATTGGTTGCTACAGAAGAAAAGTTACAATCGCACATTTACACTTCATTGTTTTCATTGACCACCACAAAGGTTTTAAAACAACTTGTGCAATGTAAATAAATAAATTTTCAATCTTTACAATGTACTATAAGCAAAAAAATCCTATATTTTTCACTAAGAACAACACTTTCTTGAAGACTGAGGAATATATTTCCTTTGAGCCTTATATTATAACATATCAACTGCCTAGAAAGTTTAGGAACTCCAACTTAACAGAACCATGAGGTACAGTACATGCATCAGCAATATTCTCAAATTCCTTCAGGATGTTTCTTCTTGTGGAGGGACAACACAGTTCTTTTAATGACATCAGCTATACTTCTGAGGGTTTTTCTTTTAATCTCCAAATTCCTTTTGTGTGGCTAATTTCATCTTCTGGCGGTTTGAGATTCTAACATGACAAGAGATTGAAAAAAAAAAAATTCACCAAGAGTAAAACTAACTTTTCCTTTTCTAAGAGAATAAGTAAACAACGTAGACAGCACATGTGCAGTGTCTTTGATATTAGCTCAAACTTTTCTTTAAATCAAAAAGCAGGAGGAGACGAGGGGATACCTAAAAAATTTTGTGAGTAGGCAAGTGCCCTAGGGACTCTAAATATCAGATCACATTCAGACACGTTTCAACAATACCTGAGACTAGGTCCAAGTCCAGCCTAACTTTTTCCCAGAATACTTAAATACTTTTGGTGAAAGATACAGTGGCCATGCAGGACTTGAATATTAAGTACCGGTTGTCCTCATTCAAGCTCTGGCAAAGTCACCCTGTTGTGTTCTTAAACACGACACTATTAATTTCTCTCACACTGCCTCTCTACAACTAGGAGAGATACTGGAAAACTACACAACTTAGGTTTACTTGAGAAAATGCACTAGATAACCTAAGATGAAGTGGAATCTCATCCAGGGCTAATAACAATACTTATGGTAACTCAGTTCCATGGAAACTGAGATAAGTTCTAAAGAAAGGTCACTTGATTTGTGCACAGACGTTACCTTGAAAACCCTCCCTGGAACCTCTCCCTGGAATGATCCCACAGGAAGACCCTCCCTTGATACCCTTCCCTGGAATGATCCCACAGGTATCTGACTTAAGCCAATCTCGACCATGCAGGAGAAGAAGTATCTTTTGGGAAAATCATCTCTTAAACAATGCCAAAGCTTTGGTTACTTTACCTTTTGATCAAACCCTAATTGGACCAAAACTCTCCAATCCCCACACCCTGCCCTAAATACCAAGTAAAAGCCCTTACCCTTAGGTAGCACATTTTTATAACAAAACCTAAATATAGGGGCTAAAAATTAATCAAACATTTTTGCTTGTCCACAATTTGTTTTAACACATTGTAAGACTGTCACAGTATATTCCCCAGCAAGAATTGAAAGATATCCTGTAACGTTCCCCACATTTCAAACTTTGTGTCAAATACAATTAAAGTCCTCTTTTAAAAGTTTATTCAAGTTGGGAAAGCTATTAATTTTGCAGTTGTTATGGAACAAGAGAAAAAATTGTTGGTTAATTAAGTCACGGTTAAAATTCTCAAATCTTTTGTCAATGGTAAACATTGTTCTTGGCACAAAAAAAATACTGGAAGGTTAATAAACTCAATGCCCCTATAACACTTGAAAAGTTGCTTCAGTATTTGTCACTGGACATAATCTGCCATTCTGAGCTCATAGTTTTCCTTAAGTTTCCTTGAGCTTGGAAAACCGTTACATGAGTACTAGCTTTTCTGAGTCAAAATCGAGTCAGAAAACACACATCTGAGCATACTCTTGTGCAAAAGAAAGGCCTCTGTCTACATTTAGGTTACAAAAATTATGCTAAAAAACTTGAGCATTGTGCTTTTGAGCATCACCCCCAAAAACATGGCATCATTCTGAAAATTATGCTTATCAGTTTTCATTATGCCCTAGTTACTGTTTCAATTCAAGAGCTTTTAACAGCCCTTCCCTCCTCCCTGCCTCCCATTCCTAACACCAACAGGTAATACTTACCAGGGACAAAAGGCTCACTGAACTTCAAAACACATCCCTTAATGAGATTAGGTTGTCAAAGAGTGAGCTTCTTAATATGTAGAGAGAGCAGACTTAGTGCTGACAGTAATCAGGTTACAAATTTTATCTGTTTTTGAACTGTAGCATCTATGGAATTTTAAAAATTTTGGTCATTATACTTGAATTATGCTTGATACTTTAACTATAGCATTATGCTCAACATTAGGCCAGCATGATTTACCTGACCCTAGTCTAAACTAGAAATAGAGGCATGCATAAAGGATGCTAATCAGCCAATAAGAGGCCTGAGCAGTTACTCTGAATTGTCCAATCTAGTGTTGAATTCAGAAAAAATGAAATGGATGCTTCTCTCTACAAGACAATTGGCGCGCGTACACTCTTTAAATGATTTTTCTGCAGATGTATACTGCGGTGACACTAAACTTGAGAAAGTCTCAAGCACCAAGCTTTTGGGAGTTTATCTGGATCAGGAACTAACATGGCAAGGACACATAACAAATCTGTTGTCATTGTGTTACGGTGCTTTAGCAGTACTACAGAAACTGAAAAACTTCGCACCATACCACATATGAAAATGACCGGTGGAAAGTCTTATACTCTCTAAACTGGATTATTGCAACGTTGTGTTTAGTCCTCTCCCAGAGTACCAGATTAAACGCCTTCAAAGAGTACAGAACACGTGTGCGGGTTTTGTGTTAACTAAATTTGCTGGACTCCAGGATGTTAGAAAGCTAGGTTGGCTCACAATCAAAGAGCGTTTAGAATTTAATATAGCTAAGCGAGCGCACAAGTCATTACACAATGAAGACTTTACACTAAAACTCAAGCAACACGTCGTAAATAGATATAGTCTCAGGTAATGACCTGCACCAAAATTAGAACTTGCCAACAAAATTGAGAAAAACACTATACAAGATCAAGCTGCAGAAGCTTTTAATAAGCTTCCTTCGGAGTTAAGGAATTGCAGTGACCATGCACTTTTTTGTATAAATCTTAAGAGACATAGTGACATGCAATGGATAATCTAGTATAGTTTTTATTATTCACTATTTTATCAATTTTGATTTATTGTAAGTATTATTCATATAGTTAGTTTTTATTTTAGTAGCAAAGAGCCACTATGTGGAAGTATACTAATAAAGGTCATTATTATTACTAAACAGCATACCCACATCAGACATGCTAGGGAGTACCAAAACAGAGAGGAACACTATAGAAGGTGAACCCGTCCCCTTTCACTCTTTTGTACTCTGCATTTGCTTCCATCAAAGAGACCCTTTCGTAAAGAAACTTATAGTTCACCACTAAATTTTCTCCGATTCTTATTGGTTTAAATTGATCACGTGACGCGATAGTTTGTTTTTGAATGTTTACAAGACTGAAGCTGTGGTATTTGGCAGATTACCTCATGTCTAATATAGATTCTTTTACCATTAGTGTAAATGGCACTCCTATCAAGCCTGTGTCTCAGTTTAAGTATCTTGGCGTGGTGTTTGATGAACGTCTCAGTTGGAATGATCACGTTAAATTCATCCTTAAGCTGAAGCTGGTTGAAGGGTTGGAATGCTTGGCGGTATTCGCTACTGCATTACTTGGCATAGTGAAAAGATAATTTATACTTCCGCGATAAGACCAATATCTTCACAAAGATTAAGAAAACGATAAAATTGTGATTACTTCTTTCCCACAACTACATTATCAAAAAACCGAAATCTAAATTTAGAAATCCATAACATGAGTCAAACAAACAGATGCCTCCGAAGCAGCACTCTTACTTGTATATAGAGGCCAGGCATTTACGGAGAAAAAATTTACCAGAACACCTACCACAATATAAAAAAAACATAATGCTGACTCAATAAGGAATAATTTCTTCGCTTATGTAGATTTAAAACACAGAAAACGCTCCCGATTGCAAAAATCTACGTTGGGGCTACCTCGCAGCTAGCATATCATTAAAGTAATTAGTCAAGCAGTTACGCTCTCTATTTGGCCTATTTTTTTCTCTATTGCTATTTCCTTTACCTCTTAGTTGTGATAAGATGGGTTGAGTGTAATAAATCTAGACAGGATAAAAGCAGCGACAATCGTGGCCAGAGTGAAGGTAAAAAAAGCGAAGTAAAACGTTTGCTCGTCTTTCATAATGTCCACCATGTTTTCATTTGGATGAGTCACACCAGTTGTTTCCGTCGAAGGACTGGAAAGAAGTAGTGACGTCTTATTCATCATCGATGGCTCAACAAAATGGCGACTGCTCCTAATGAGAAAATGTTTGTTTTTTGCTTACTTATCCTATTTATTCCCTTCACTCTGGGTCGAAATCATCGAATAAAGCTAGAGGTATAGTATTTCAATAAATGTGGGTCGTTTTTTAGTGTTTTTGTTCCCTTAACCTTTTATTTATCGCTTGTTTTTCTACGTGCAATTCACAGGATGAAACAAGACAGACAATCGAGTTGAGTAAGTTCGGATTTCTTCAGAGTGGAGTCCTTAGAGTAAACTTTACCAATATGTGGTTTAAAAACAAAAATTCCGCAAATGTAAGTATCCTTTGATATCGAGCAGTGAGCGTGTACATTTTAATGATTTAGCTGAATTTAGCTTTTATCGCTATTACTTAAAAGCTGGTAGCGAATTTTGCTGAATGCTCCGGCTAGTGGTTTACTTTCGGTTGTCGATTATTTTTTAGTTTGGTTTTTCCATGGAAAAGACTGGAAGTGATGGGATTTCGCCGTACATGGTAAGATCAACTTGTGTAGATTTTACTGATAGGAGTCAAGCAAAAACTAATATGACTTACAAAGGTGAGACCCGTTCAGAGGGAGCATTGACAGAAAAGGGTCTTGTTACTGTGCCAGTGTCACTTTCGAACCGATTTGTGATGTTTGGCCCCGTGAGTGCATTGAGGAAGTTTCCCATCTGATTACACAGGCTGTACTGCCCTTGACGACTCCTTTCTCTTGAACCTTAACTCTTGAATTCTCTTAAATCTTATTATCTTGAATTCTCTTGAATCTTGACCCCCAATACTTTGTTTGAAGAGAAGAAAGCAAATTTCCGCATTTCTCAGTAGCGATACATTTGTAGAATTCTCCAATTCGGAGTCAACATCTTGCAGAACATTCTAGTTAACTTGATAAATGGCTGAGTAAACTATAAAAATACATTGTCAGTAGTAACGCTACATGCATTTGGCAAGATTTCCGTATAACCCCATACTTCATTATGTATACGATTCTTGGATTAAAGAAAACAGAGGCTAAACAACAGATTTCCTTTGGGACTTCGACTTTATTTTTGATTGGTATGAAGGTATACAGAAATCTTTCCCATGAATTTTTATCATTGGCATAGTTTTTCAATAGAAACCAATCAGCAATTATTTTTATCATGTTATGAATGTATATTTGAATATACATGTTTAAAGCAGAAATTTTGAGGCAAATAAATTTGTCTTTTCCTAAACTCAAGTACAGTTTTACAAAACATGGGTGAAGCTGCTACGAATAAACAGTCACTGAATACCAACATTGTATAGATGCATTTTTAAAATAGTCTGTTTACAAATGTAGGCGAGTCAAATGAGCATATAAAACTAGTCTATGATTTCCCCTTATCTCTGAGCTGCACTGTAGCGTTATTGAGATTAATTTTACATTCAGTGAACATGTCTCACTGGTTAAGAAACAATGTCTGATGTAAAAATTGTGCAACTTGATAGTATTTTCTGCAAAGTGGCATGTGCTAGTTATTGAGGTAAACAACAACATTGAATTTAATTCATTTTCGATTATTTTGGGTAAATTTGCAGTTCAGAGTTCATTTTTAAATATATACTTTGCTTAAAAGAAAAAGGAAAAGATTTTGAGCGTGATTCTGGTATAGAGTAGGAAGAGAAGGGTGTTCAATTAGAATTGTGCTCATGAAACTAGATTTCAACATCCACTCTGCTCACATTTGTAGACAGGGCCATGGTTGTCTAAAAACACCAAATGTAGCCAATCAGAATTCACAAAAGTGTTGGACAAAATGGTCAACCAATAAAAAGTCATTATATATATTCTAGCAAAAGAATGACATCACAGAACATGAGTTGTGTCAGGTTTTTATAGACATTCCCTCCTTTCCAACTCTCCTCTTACCACATTTTGATGTCTTTTGTGATCTATTACTAAACAAGCCCATAGCAACATGGAATCTATTTGTTTATATAAGGGAGAAGTAAAAATTCATCACTGGTGACATTATCTATGTCTTTATCCTTCAAAAGTTCATATTAAATAAGACTCAATCAAAATGGATATTTGATTTTCTTATTCATATACATTATAAATATATACAGTACCTACAGATACATTTCTATTCATTTATTTATTTTTCTATCAATTTGTAGGTGTAATGTAATTTGTTTCATGAATTGTTTTTCAGGAGCAACATTCTGACAATTGTGTTCTCAATGATCCAGAGCAGATTAATAATTTTAACCAGATATCATTGGCAATTCTCAAATTTAATCTCGAAAAGAAAGAGTAAGTTATATTTAAATTTTTTTTGACACTGTGTATTTAATTGTCTCCAGTTAAAATATTGTTTTGTTATTTGATCATTGTGTGGAATATGCACAAGATAGCTATTATTATTTATGGTTTTTATTTTACTTATCACTATTTTTGGAAATTTTTGGAAAAGCCTGCTATTTGAATCACGTACAATGTCCTTTTTAAGAGTGAGACAATTTTTCCTTTTAGGCGCCACTTGCTGATGTTGAGTTATTTTGCTGCAAGTACATGTAGTGACTGCTGTGATTAATCGTAAAACAGTTCCTTAATTCAGGGGCAGATCAGTATTTAACTCATTGTGTACAGTGAACATGCATGGACAAGTCTATATGTGTCTGCATAACCAAGCAACCACCGTTCATGCTTGACAATGTTAATATTTGTTTATTGAGGGCAAAAGTAATGTAATAGAGGCCAACTCTAAACCAACTCTTTTGTTCTTTTGCTCAATTTTTTCCTATAAGTACTCATATGAAGCTTGTAGTTGTATAGTTGCAGACGGTTTTTCCCCAACTAACTCTCAATTAATTATTTTGTTCTTACTGTTGATGGTCAGGATCGTTATCACAAAGTTTGGACATGACTTTGAGAACCTGACCATTGAAAAATTTCAACCAGAACCACAACCAGCCATTGTGGTGGATACAACTGCTTCCTCTAATGAGGAAGGAGGGAACATTTCTACTTTATTCCCATCCTCTGACCAGACCACAGCACAAACACCAACAATTGCACCAAAAGCAACCTCTAAAACTCCTCCAAAGAACACATCAGGTACCACGCATCTTTCCTCCAATGGAAACAATGGGACAACACCACCTTCCTCTAATGGAAACAAGATTATAGTGACACATGATAGGAGGAGAAGAGCAAATGATGGTACAAATGAAGAAACACTTCCTCAAAGAAAAGAAAAAACATGGCCTTTGGTGCAAAAGACAGTTAATGACTCCATGCCTTATTCTGGAAATGTAAGTTTAAATAGTTCAATCTCTTCTTTTCCTTGTCTTGTGTAGGTGCTATCTACCACTTTGATAATTGGTTACTACTTTGGAAGTGTAAGTTACCTTAGAGTCCAGTTGTGACAATCAGTGGCTGGAAAAGAAATTGCTGTACTTATAATATCATGTGCCAAACTTGTGGGGTACACTCTACTCTCAGTCATTGATCTCAGTCATTGATCTCAGTCATTGATCTCAGTCGTTGATCTCAGTTGTTGATCTCAGTTGTTGATCTCAGTCGTTGAATCTTTGCGTTATTGTTTATCATCAACATTCAGCGCATCACCAACCTAGTACATTCTCTCCTAAAAACCTATCACTCCAATCATCGCATCTCCTATTTCATTAAATGTTAAAATCTTCTTTTGACCAACAAAAAAAAGTTTGGTGTGCTTTCAGTGGGGCATTTTGGAGCTTGGCTTTTTTGTCCAGCAAGTTAGCAGTTAATTTACATCGTAATCAGCTATAAGGATATTTTACAAGCACAGTAGGGAGCTTTAGGTATTGATGACTTCTAACCCTAAGGTTACTGAATGTTGCTCTGTAATTTTTATAGTTCACAGTCAAGATTCAGACAAAGGCTGAGGAGGGATTGTATAACTTGTATTTTCATATCTGTCCTAAAGGAAAAGGAAAAGAAAAAAAAACAGCTCATGTGAATATTGAGGTGATGTACATGATTTTCACATTGATGCATTCTTAGATTGAACTGTTTAACCCCTAAGAGTGACTAGCTTCTAATTTTGCCCTACAATGTCACTCCTAAATCACATCACCCAGGTCACCAATTAAAGAAGCTCTTGATTGATTTAGAAGTTCTCCTTGTCAACACCTTATGAAATAAATATACATGTGTTAGAGTGACGGATTGTGTTGTGCGGGAGGTCGAGGGTTCAAGCCCCGGCCCGACCAATACTCATGGTCTTAAAATAACTGAGGAGAATTTGCTACCTTTCTATAATATCAAGAAATGGATAGATATTCTAGTCTTCTCGGATAAGGACGAATAAACCGTAGGCCCTGTCTCCTGCACCGCTAGGGGTAGGAGACGTTAATTTCCCACACTCGAGATTACTGTGTGGAGGATGTCCTCCCCTGGGGTGAGATGGGTGGGTGTGACAGGGCCCCATTTAAACCAGCTATTAGCTGAACTGGGCTACCCTGTATAAATATTCATTATGTAATCGTTGTGTAAACGTGTATATGTACAGAGGGCAATGGGAAGAATATGCACACTGATTGCAGAACCTTGTGTTAAGTTTAGCATGTATTTTTCATACTACTTAAAGTTACCTTTACAGCATGTTTTTGCATCTATCAATACACTCCAAAATTATTTTATGTAATTCTTTTCTGACTTTTGAGTTACTACTTTAATTAACATAAGCTGAAGTTGAGATTCATGTAGCACTAAAATGATTAATTTTTGTTCTGTAAAATAAAATTTTCTTTTGAATTTTGTTCTCCTTTGTTTAGATTTAATGAAAAATATTTATTTTCAATTTCAATCCATCCTACCAATAGATTGACATTGTGGAGAAAAATGGTGAAAACTTTCTGTCTGCGGGAGAGGTGAGGCCATTGTTACAATGCCATGTGTATGTAGTTATTTGAGTTCCCTTTTCCTAAAAAAAATTATTTTTAAACTACAACAAATACATGAACATCGTGATTGATAGGGATATGTTTTTTTCTTTGCTCAAGATTACATAGGCTCAATTTCCACTGCTCTCTCAAGTCTAGTCTTTTCTGTTAGAGTGCGGGCTCCAGTTCCCGAACAGGGGCTGGTAATCGAGCCTAAAGATTACATTGCTTTCTTCTTTTCTTGTGTTTGATGTCAACAGCAGCACTGCATTATGTACATTTATGATCTTGTTCTATGATCATTTCAGTTCACTGCCCTTACTTTCTGCCATTAATCTATAAACACAGGAACCTTTGCCATATATGTTCGGTATCCTCTCTATCCTATTCCTTGGAACAGCAATTTACTGGCTTCATGTTCTTAGGGACAACAGGTAAAAATAATCTTTGGAGCTGCCTCTTGTAATAATTGTAGTAAATGAACCAATGTATTGACTGGTTAATGGGGCATTTGTTATATGCAAAATAAAGATTTTTGACCTTTGAATTAATGTGTTTTTACTGATAAAATATCATGATAAAGGTCCATAGCAAATTCAGTTCTTCCATTGACTAACTTATGTTTATCTTAAAAGTAAAGAGAATAGAGTACACTGTCAGTTATATTCATTTTTCTGAGAAAACCACCATGCTGACAAGAAAATTTGATAATTGTATATACATTTGCACATATTGTCAGTAACTTTATGTGAATGCCAGTGGTGACTGTTAGCTTACTTTAATTGACTTTGTTCTCCCCCTGTAATAGGGATTTTACATACAAAGTACATTACATGATGTTTACCCTGATCCTTTTAAAATCTCTTGATCTGATGTTTCAAGCAGTAAGTATCCGATGCTATCTATAATTATTATACAAATTCTGTCATAAATTGCCAACACTCCTATGATTGGTATATTGAAGGGACAAAATCATTAAAACAAAATTTCAGCTTTGAAAATATTACCTACTGGTAGATCATAGAGGGATTACAGTCGAACCTCGATTATCCAGACTCGTTGGGACCTCGGTCAATTGTCTGGATAATCGAGAGTCCGGATAATTGAAAATATGAATATCAATGAGATAGAAATGTAAACAAAAGGTATACAGCAAAGAAAGCATTATTTTAATTGTGAAATCTACACAGCCTGTATGTATTTACAAAACTTTCAGTTCAGGTATTTACAAAGGTCTAAATTGTTCAAGCATGTTTGTTTGCTTCAAAGACTTGCAGCTTGAATTGATCGCTTTGAGTTTTCAAGATCACAACTAATTAATATTCATGAAAAAATTGGAACCAAAGAAAAAAGTCCGGATAATCGAATAGTCTGGATAATCGAGGTTCAACTGTATAGAGTGAACATGACTGCTTTTAAATTTTTTCCAAGAAATTTAGTCAAAACCTTCCTTTCATGTAAAAGAGCACTTTTGAATTAGCTGTGCCATGACTACTTTTTGATGTTATGAAAACTCATAGATGAACAATACAAAATGTATTTTGCGGTGTGACAAAGACTGTAATCTGATGGAATGCTTCTCCAAAACAGGGATCAGAATCAAAAGTTTGTAGCAAAGAAAGTTATCTGTATGGTAGCAAAGAACCTGGTCCAATCAGGTGTTAAACTTGTTATGGAAATGAAACAAAAAATATAATCTCGGGCAAAATGATAGTTTGAAATATTTTCTGTTTACAGTTTCTTCTATTATTTGGGTGTAATGTATCCCCAACCATGAAAATGACAGTTACGTTTGCATTGAAATTGCATTTTCTTGACTGAAATAACACTTACTTAGATGAAACTTTGGAATATTGCCAAAAAAGGTGTATACTGTATGTACATGTAGCTTACTTAGGTGCTACTTTAGACTTTCTGTGTATTTTACTAATTAAATCTAAGTGTTGTCAATTTCCCTTTTCCATTTTTAGAGAAGTTTTCTTTTGGTTGACATCTCAAATTAAATTTTGTCCTGTCATACATGTTGTACAAAAGAGAAGCATGCAAAATGTATTTTAGTATCTACACTGGAATTGTTTGGATCAGGTTATTCTTTCAGAGTTCTTTTAGTTATAAAACTTTCACTCTTTTTTCTGAACAGGTGAATTATCACTTTATTAGTAGAGATGGTAAACCAGAAGAATCCTGGGAAGTGCTTTACTACATCACACATCTGTAAGTTTTAAAAGTTAGTCAGGGCTGTGCTCTAGGAGAGGCAGGGTGCCACAGACCATTCTTTTTTCTTTGGTGACATGACTGTGTAATATTGCTCGTACTAAAGTCTTTAACCCTTTAACTCACAGGAATGACCATGACAGAACTTCTCCCAACAATGTCAATACAAAATCAAGCAGACAAGTGATGAGAATGTAGAAAAATGCAAATTCTAGGGAATTATAAGTTGATCCAATACCAAATTCTCTGAACTAACGTGATGATTGTATGGCAGACGGTTTGGAGAGCTATAAATAAGATCTTGGGAGGGAAGGTATTAAGAGCTGGACACTTCAGATGTTAAGATCAGAATCTTCAGGCACCTGGCTATTTATCTAAGGGCACAGCCTTGTTGGAACTTTTAATTGAACATGATATTCCTATGAGATTTGCTAATCATAGGGCTTGCTGCAACTGGGGTGATACTAACAAGACCACTGAGTTTTTTAAATTGGCCCATAGTAACCTGTGCAGTTCAGATATTAGCCAAAAAATGCACCAAAAATGTGCCCAAAATTACATGCAAGTGTGTAAAAAAATTTTATGTGTTAAAATTTTGCATGTGTGTACATAAGCTTGACATATCTGCCTCATTAGTATGTATGGGATCAGCCTTAAATTGTTTTTCTACTGTTGACAGTTTATTGTTTTAAAGAATAGTTTATAATGTAATAGGACTAAAGGTAAAATACTACACAGCTACCAACAACGAGTAATGTTGGTCAGTTGAAGAAATGCAAAAAACATATATGGGCAGGGGTTAAAAACTATTTTGAATTCCCAATAACTTTTTTTTAGAATTTGGTGTTCAAAATCTACCAATTTAAATGTAACTCCTAGGTGATTTACTTGCCCCAGCTTGCAACTCCTCCACACAATACATTAAATAAAGATGATACAAGTCAAAATCCTTATTGAAGTATGGTTTTTTTTTTTAGCCTTTAATTTTGTAACTTAAGGTACTGGGAAATTGCATAGCAAAACTGAGTTATCTTGAACAGAAAAAAAAAAAAAAAAGCAATCTTTGTGACATCAGTTGTGTGTAATATTTAGTTTATGTTGTAAAATTAATTTTTTTGTACATGTAGGTCTATGCCATGGTAAATTAATATCACATTCCAGTAAGCACTACTTGTTCTTTTTCTATTTTAGGTTGAAGGGAGCATTACTGTTCACAACCATTGTCCTTATTGGTACTGGCTACTTTTTCATCAAACATGTGCTGTCAGATAGAGACAAAAAGATATTCTTGATTGTCATACCACTACAGGTAAGGAGACAGCACAATCCTCATTAGCTAGTGATATATTTTTAAGAAGTTTCTTACTGATTTAAACCAATCGATGGGGAACTAAAGCGCTAAAAGTTTCCCAGTGGTGTAGAGTTCAGGTACAGACCTTTCGTCTGTAGGAGTTAGTTAAGATGGTGAAAAGGGCTCTCAAAATGATTGGTTGATATCCTGCATGTAGCATATCAGAAGCATACCGAGTAAAGTACATGTACCACATCTAAAGTTCCTTAATATTAGGTTGTCACTGTACATGTTTCCAGCGATTAACATTTTGTACAAACTATCGTTGGAATAATGTGTTTAATTATTGTTTCTTAAATTTCTATTCAATTTATTTTAAACAGAGGTCTCAAATTCTCTTATAACTTGTTACCAAGTGCTACATACACATCTTTTGAATCAATTCTTAACAGAAGGCATTCAGAGACAATTTGTTAAGTGACAGTATACTTCTGGCCCCAGTTGTTTGAAAAGCGGATAACCCTATCCAACAGATAAATCGCTATCCAGTGGATAAGTGATAGAAAAACATACAGCGCTATCCACCGGATAGAGATTTATCCAGCGGATAGCGTTATCCACCCTTCGAACAAGCGGGGCCTGGTGACTGGCTTTTATTGAAATTCCTGCAAAGGAGTCACAGCACTCCTTGTCATTAAATGCAAAGATCCACGGGTGTCTGCTACTAAGCATGGCATCTTTTTTTTGTCTTTTTAGAACTGGCATTATTTTTTTGGTATTTGTTTTACAAGTTGCAAGCATTAAGTTGCCTATTGAATATTGCCTTTGTTGTCAATTTTAGATTTTAGCCAACACAGCTCAAATTGTGATGGAGTCAACTGAGGAAGCAAACACACAGTATACAACTTGGATATCCTTCATTATTCATTTAACTAGGAATATTGCATTCTAGTGTTCTGACTGGTTCACTCAACTCCAGTTACCAGCTCATACTCCTAGTCACCTTATATGGAAATGTATTGCACCAAATGTTTTGTAGCTGAAAATTTTGTTTTTCTGAAACTTTGAATATCCAAAGGTTTAGGATGTATTGAAATTTGATTAAAATAATTATCCCATTCACACTTGTTGGCTACAAGATTGGTCATAGCCAACTTGGCTGTCAAATGCCTCGTTGGCTATATACCATCTCATATCCAACATGCCTCATGGAGTAATTAACAATTATTCCACGAGCGTGCGTTGGATATGAGATGATAGATAGCCAACAAGGGGCATAGTGCCAAGTTGGCTATAATCATCTCATATCCAACAAGCGAGAGTGAAATGATTGTTTTATTAAAAAAACGCCCCCAAGATATTATACAAATCTTCTCGACTTTATTTTGCGAGAAGAAACCGGATTTAACAATGTACAGAAATTACATTATGGTATATTGGCTCATATACCATAATGGCTGAGCCAATAAAAATTCTTGAATTGCATTATCCAATGATCCAGTTTTTAATAATGATTATTAAATAACTAGCAATAATTTTGGTATCAAAAGTAAATCTTGGTTGAACTTTTGCTAACAGGCAATAAGAGTAAACACTGCATTTGGTGGGAAAAGTGCAGCAATATATGACTAAATGTGGCTTGAGAAGTTTTTTTCCTCCATCATTTCTGAACATTTCACCTCCAAAGTTCCATTATCTTCTTTTTGAAGTGTTAGGAGTCAAAGACAACTTTCTCGATTTTTTCATTTTCCTCCTTCCTTCCTCAGTTTTTGACCTGACTGACTGCAGACCATAAGGTCATGTGAAAGGTCCAGTGAAAAAGAAACTGTTAGAGAGCAAAAATAAAAGTGATACATTGATGTGATTTGGAGTTCGAGTAGGAGCTCTGTTTCAGTTGAGTTTGTGCCTTGACCATGATTACAAAGAACTGTTCATCCTGGTAGACTTGCTCTGCTGTGGTGCAATTTTGTTTCCTGTTGTATGGTAAGTTAGTTGAAACTTAAGTGCCAAGCCTTGTATTTATAAAGTGAGGAATTTTTGTTATTTTGAGTAGAAGAGTATCTGTTGAGAAATGATCTTTTTTCATCAAGGTATTATCACATTGCTCTAATGCTTCTCATTAAGAAACAAATCACTTAAAAAGTATTAGCTCAGCACCTTGTCATTCAGCTATAACCACAGTTTTGTTTCACATTCTACCTTATACCAAAGTTGGATGCTTTAGAATTTTAGCTGAGAATGTTGAACTGAATGGAACTAATGGAATTAACAATGACTGTTAGCATTTTTCATGCTGTACCTGTTGTTAATGGCAGAAAGTGTTTTGGAGAATGATTACAAAGTTACTAGGAACCAAACTGGTCACTGATGTGTTTTTGCTTGAAGTTTAACCACTCTATTTCTGCCTTTCAGGTCAATAAGACATTTACAAGAAGGATCCCAAACAGATGGCAAAGGTATAAGAAACGTTATGTGACTGATATTAAAGCTTGTTTACCAACAACAGTTGCTGTAAAAAGTTGTTTTTCAAAATATCTAATTGAGACTTTTTCACTCCCTTTTGACAGCTGCCCTTAACCTGGCGAAATTGAAGCTTTTTAGACATTTCTACGTAATGGTAAGTTGAGTAAAGGGTAAAGGGTTTTTATCTGGTTCGTATTTGTAGTTAATTTTAACAAAGTTTATTTGCTTGCTTTTTTGCTAAATAATGCTCTTAAAATATAGGAATAGTATAGTTTGTATCATGACATAGTTATCAGTGATTGGTACTGATTCTTTCGATGAGTGAGGCAGACTGGTCAGGCATTACTTAATTGAGCCTGCAAAGAGTTTTTTACTCTAGAACAGACAAAAATGTTGAATGAAACTTATCTGATCCATGTTTAGGCTACATGATCTTAGTAAAGTTATTTCTTCACTGTATCTGGCTCATGTATTCAGAGTGTTCAGCCAAGTAAAGGTTTTGCACATCAAGACCATCACACTCTGAGGTGCTTGGCTGTGCGGACGGGTGTGAATGATGTTGAAATCCAATTCATCACAGTTTTACGAGCTGACAATTAATTGGAACACAAACAATACTTAGTCTACACGTTGCAGTTAAAATTAGAAGTGTCTACACTTGGAGACAGACAACAGTTTTATGTTAGTGCTTCATCACAATGAACAGCGCAAACACTTTTAAAAGCACTCCATATTTTGAATTTTCTTATGTGAAAAACATTTCTTTTTTTTAGATTGTATGCTACATCTATTTCACAAGAATAATTGTGTATTTGATAAAGGTGAGTGGGACCATCAACACTGAGAAAAGTTGCAAATTCCATTGTGGAACTTATTAATCCTCACCAACCTTGAAGACAGAATGTGTTATTAAAGAATTAAAGTCATTCTTGATTCCACTCCTCAGGAGCCTTAAGGGAAGGGGTTGTTAAGGGCACATACGATGAAGAGGAGGCTGGTTCACTTGCACTCAGTTGCATTCAATCAAGAGCTTAGCGTAGTTACACTGTTTTTTTTTTTGTTGTTGTTGTTGTTTCAGATCACAGTGCCATTTCAATATATGTGGCTGGATGATGTAAGTTTTGGTTCAGGTTCCTCAGTTAATCAAAGACTGTTGATCTTGATTCTCCCTTGTTACATTTCGTGCTCATGAAGCCTGTAAGAATGCATGCTAGCAAAAGGATTCAATATTCAAAGGATACAGTGTCCAAAGATTGTGTATGTCTAAAGCGCGTTTTTGAGTCCTGATTGGGTCATTGTGTAGTGTTCTTGGGAACGACTCTTCACTCTCGCATTACATGCAGATCTCCCAACCCAGAAATATCAATAGATGCCGGTGAAGTGTCTGCAAATGTAGCGAAATACAGTTGGTACATTTAAAGCCAAGGATTTCCACCCGTTTGCTACCCTACATGTACCTTTGCTTTTTAACAATTACATGTTTTATTTCAGTTCTTCAACAATGCAGCATCGTTTGTCTTCTTTGTTTTGACTGGGTAAGAAAGAAAATGTTTAACTGTTTACCTTGTACGTTTTTGTTTTCGCTTCTTTAATTGGATTGCAAAAAATCTTCTGTATTGTCCATTGATTAAGGATGAATTGTCGTCATAGTGACCAACAACTACACGGGGGTTGTATGATATAAAACATCTTCGGGGATCTTTGTGGGTAAATGGTTTTTGTCTAGCTCAAAAAAGCCTCCTGTCTTCTGATTGCCTTGTGTCTCCTTGAAACCAATCCTCCAGTGCTACTGGAGAATGCGCACCATCATTGTCGCCGTCATTGCTGCAAATTTTCATTGTCTTAAACTATAACTGTCTCGAAAGGGCTGTTGGGGTTGTTCCTGGAGCCATAAGGCTTATGCCCTCCCTCCTCTCCCCCCTTCCCCTCTCTCTCCTTCTCCGCCTCCTCCCCCCCCCCCTCGGCCTCTCACATCGGCATCTGCCATAAGGTAAGGTAAGGTAACCTTCATTTTGCCAGAGTGTCCCATTCAACTACATGGCTGCAGTTCCCTTTTTCGAATAAGACTGCAAGAAAATCGATTGTGTTCTTAGGGAGGGGGAGGGGGGGTAAAGGTATCAGGGTGTTGATGCTTTGTAGGGAATGATTATATGTCCTTATTTTCTTTTGGCTTTTCCAAATATGTCTAACACTTATTAAATTTTGTTGTGTTTCTATGTATTAAAATAGCTTCAAGTTCCGACCTGCTCCGGACAATCCTTACCTTCATGTACCACAAGACGAAAGTGATGGCGAAGTGGAGATGGAAGAAGTGTAAGTTTTGTATGAGGATTTTTATTTCTACGTGTGCTCGAGGTTTAAGGGCAGACGCTGTACCTCTTTATTGCTTACAATTTTTCTTCTCGATTTTTCAGTGTTACAAATGCAGGAATCGCCGATGGCGTGACAAGACTGCAGCCGTCGTCAAACGGCAAAAGAATATTTGAAACCGCTTAAAATTTGCTACAATCAATCATCACTTGCTTTGTTCTAGGTGGATGGATTTTCCAAAGGGTATAGCCCAGGTGGGAGGGAGGGGGGTTGGGCAGGTTGCTTGTGTATTTGTGACTCCCTTCATGACAAAGAAATAATTGATAGTTATAAAACAACCCAACTAGAAATTACGAAGACACTTGCTTTCCCCCCTACGGAAAAATGCATGCCCTAAGGGGTGACTCTTGTATTTTAATCTTCCAAGAAACGAGTCAAATAGCCAGTGAGCTACCTACGGCTAGGTGTTAGAGGATATAACTTGAAAATTCTATATTTGTGCCCGTAATTCCGTTAATGCGAGACTTATGAGAATGTGCTCAATCACACTCACACACACACACACGCGCGCACACACGCACACACACACACACACACGCACGCACACACACGCGCACACACACACACACACACGCACGCACACACACCTACTGGCGCATGCATACATAGTTAACAATTCTCTCAAATATCATTTGTTGTTATTTGGACCACATGGTAGATAAAAATAGATGATAAATTTTGTCTGTGCCTTGCCAACAACAAAGTCATATTTTGCGGTAGATTACTGTAGTAATACTTGATTGAAGAGGATTTATGAAAGGTCTAGAAGAATCTAAAGTGTTTATAAATGTACAAACTAGCGTGCTCGTCAAATAGAACTCATTTGTACTATGAGTATCATGTTTAAGGTGTAATCTATCATTGAAGTTAGGCTTGGTTTTGTCTCTATTTTGTTTTGATTTTGTGTCGTATGTTTGTTTTTATGCTTGTGTGTGTGTGTGTGTGTGTGTGTGTGTGTGTGTTTTTGTTTTTGTTTTTTTTTCGCGGTAAACATTGTGATCTCTTGGTTAACGAGCTGTTTTCCACATTGAGAGATCTGCATTTGATTCATGCCAGGGATTAATCTGCCTATGGTGTCTTTAGGCAAGGTTTAACACTCACACGGTGTATGTGTTTTTTTTTGTCTGTGATTATAAATGGGTAGCGCTAGACTGTCTGAAAATGTTACCAAAGCAAACTCATTAACCTATACCTGGACTCAATATAATTTGATAGAGATGGTTGTCAGTGCGTTGAGTGGCAGTTGACTTTGCATAGTCAACCGCTCGAATTATCCTCTGTTTTTACAATTACTGTGCGCTTCTTTTTCTGCTCAAAAAGTTCGTTTGGGCATTTCATTGTCACAGAAGTTTTTCAAGTGTGAGAGCTTTCTCCTGTTCCAACGTTCGACAATAATTTTTCTTTTAAACAATGAAACTTTACTGATACTCATTGACTATAAAAAATTAGGTACCAATACTAGTAACTTTTCCTTTATGGACTAGTTTAGTAAAAAATTTACCTTACTCATATTCCTTTTTGTTTAATATGTTTTTAAGTAGCGTGCTTCAGTTCGACCCTTTTAAAAGAAGTCGTAACCTTTTACACCCTAAAATCAGTATGCACACTCGCAATACTGTTCCCCATACTTTCCCAAAGTGCTCACGGAGAATTTGCTTAACAATAAAGAGATCCCTTCGTTGGTGGTCATCTTCTTTATTTTCCTGATCTTAATATGTGATTCAGGGGATGTATGGAGAAATAAGATTCTTCTTACTCTTAAGGGAAAACGGTGAAAAGTTAGTTTATGTAGTTCTTAATGCTTTCACTCCCATGATGTCAGTAGCAATTCTTCTTACTGACTGCCACCTAATTCTTATGATGTTACATCCTCATCACTTGTCTGCTTGATGTTGTATTGATATTGTAAGGAGAAATTCTGTCTTGGTCACTACTCATGGGAGTAAAGGGTTAACCATACATTATTGAAATGACAAAAGGATAGTTTGTATTTGTCATGTAAAGATATATGTTACTTGTATATATTTAAAGAGTGACTAAAAATTATTCTTGGAGACACAACGATGATTATTGTACTTAGGGAAAGACGTCCAGTGATGCAAAGTAAAAGATTATTTAAATGAAAGTTGACCTTTGCTTTGCTTTTCATTTGACACTTTTATTTTCTAAATTTGAAAAGTAGAGTCAGGCTGTACAAGATTAAAAACTTTCTAGAAGAACAGTTTGCTATAAGTGGAATCATTGTTTTTTTCTTGCTCTGTAAAAGAAAAAAAATATTTTCATCCTCGAAAACTTTCACATTTTCGAAACCTAATTTGCTTTTAACTCAGCGATGTGGTTTACCTATTCGCCTTGTATTTGTGAAGTGATTAGAAAAAATATATATTAGTATACTTGCGTTTCTTTTTGTTCATGCTTCCTTTTCTTTTATTGGATAAATTTGATGTAGCTATCGGGTGGTTTCACCTACTGGCTAGGTAAGTACGCGTTAAACTGGTAATGCTCTTTATACAGTTTCGTCTTTAATTCTAATGTAACGTAGAGTAACCGGAGTATCTGTAAAGCCAAAGGCCCTAAATGAAGAGAAATGTGGTAAAGGTCCGTGTGTAGATTAACAAGTTATTTACCATGTCCATACTGATGAAAACTTCACCAAACCACGCAACGTCTCAGTTCAAATTTTACTTGTGGCTAAGTGACGAAAGTGAGTTTTCGTGCTAGTCAGAACGGCTGGCTAAACGACGGCGTCTCCAAGCATCGCTCTGAGGGTAAAAAAAAAAAAGGAAAAAACCTCGTGAGAGATTCACAATAGTGAAACATTTCAGAATGCATTTCGTATGAGTGAAACTTAAACCAAAGTAATTACATCAACCGTTGAGGCAATAAGAGCGCAAAGTGAAAACTCGAACACTTCTTTAAGCGTGGGAAAGTGCCTCGGGTGAGTTTTAGTTTTGATTCTGTTTGCTGAGAGGATGGCAAGAGTTTTCTAGATCAATCCCACAGCAAAAGAAAGAAAAAACCAACGCATTTCCACATCCCTTTCGACTCTATAAAATTTGCTCAAAAGTTTAGAACGAGGTACCAAGATGGTACCGGCGAGCGGTCACTATCTCGCGAAAACGCTTCTCCGTTGAATCGCTTACCATGTTATCCAAACGAGGAATAGGTTAAACACTATCTTGTGGTTTTAATTGATCTAAACTTGGAACCGAGCAAACTGAAGGAAGATTGTCTCAATTCTCCTTAATTACAGTGGCCTTTTCCTGCTTTCAACGCTGCTATTTATAATTATGTAATTGTTTCTTTGCTTGAAAACGGTCTACTTTGAAATTCTCGGTTTCTCAGTTCTTTGGTTTCTCGGTGATGTCAGAAATTAAGGAATTTTGTAGGGGAACTAGCCTGTCATCGATGAAAAGATTTGTACAGTGAACACTGATTACAAGAATCACAGCTCAGAGCATTTTCACCTCCTGCGATCTTCTCAATGCGTTGAAAACCTAGACCTTTTTCGAATTTTACGGTTTTAGATTCTTTTGGAAGAACTCTTCAAGTCTCACAAATACCTGTCATCGATGAAAAGAGCTGCCGCAGCAATAGCCACCATCACAAGAACTGTGACCCTAGACTTGTTCATCTTAAATTTTTTGGAGTGTTTAAATTCTACTTTTTAGTTCCTTCAAACGGCTCTAATAATTCGGATGAGGTATTTATACTGTGCGGGTCCACTGTAATGTCCAGACAGTTAATGATTTGGTGGCATCCATTCTGCCGTTTGCTCATTGATTACTGCTTTTTCTCAGACGCCCTATTGTCGTTGTAAGAAACTGCGGGCACATTGTGCTGAACTTGTTAAATTTTCAAGGGACAAAAGAGGAACAAACAAGCCAGCAAATGTGTGTTGTTGCTAAAGAAAAGCGGAGGTGAACTTCTTTTGAAAAATTAAAATGAGTTTTTGGCTGGCTTATCGTTCTCTTAGGCAGAACTTGTAAAATTCCGACAGGTGTCCAAGGGTCACAATATCGTCCTAACTGTGACTTGATTCTTTCAGTTACAGCTGAACATGTTCATTCACAAATACGTGAATTACTGAACACGACTAATTCTAAGTGCCACCTTTTTTGCGATCGTTCCTTCAGTAATTTGCATTTCTCCTTGTTAAAATTAAAGAGACGGAAGCTCATTAAAAGTAACAAAAAAAACCACTCAGAACGTAACGAAAAATGAAAACCACAGCACGAAATTTGGTGCTTACTTTAGCAACCCACTGACGTTTATTTTATGCGATTGATTTACAAGCTTTTTGGCCGATTTTTTGTTTGTTTGTTTGTTTGTTTGCAAACCTTGAACTATTACGGTGATATCCACTTTACCAGCAAGCTCACAGATCATTGCTTGCTTTTCAATCACCTGGTGGCACTGAATGGAAAGAAACAACGCACATTGTGCTGGACTTGTGAAATTTGAAACAGGTGCTCTATTGGTGAGATTTATTCGACAACCATCACAGTGGTGGAATTGTTCTGCAGAAAATACAAAAGGAAAACGTACCTTATTTCTCTAATATGGTATATTAGATATTTTTAAAACTAGGTTGAAAGCATTCCAAGTCTAACATCGTGTAGATATATCTCGCTTTTTTTTAACCTTTTGGTGCGGGTGAAGTTCTTTTGAAAAATGAAAATCGGTTTTTGATTACCTTATCGTTTTCTTTTAGGCAAAACTTATAAAGTACCTACAGGTGTTGAAGAGTTACAATATCATCTCAACTGTGACTTGATTCTTTAAAGTTACAGCTGAATACGGACTACGTGAATAACTCAAAACGGATAATTCTTAGTGTCAACTTCTTTCTGAAAGTTTCTTTCTATAATTTACATCTCTCCTTGCATTGATTTATTAACAACGTTCAAAACAAGGGAGAGAAATTCAATAAAAAATAGTGGAAAAAACTGAGAACCTAGGAGAAAAATTAAAAAAAGAAGCACGAAATTTAATGCTTACTTAAACTTTAGTTAAAGAAATTTCGTCAACTCTGCATGCGCACTGATAGCTATTTCATGCGATAAATCTTACGATTATGCCGGTATTTATTTTGTGGATTGTTTGCAAACGGATGAGGTGAGATCCATTTTATCAGCGGGCTCACTGATTATATTTTTTTCCAATCCCCTAGAAGCGGTGGTAAGAAATATGGCACATTGTGCCGCAGATGCTTCACTGATAATATTCAGTTTCGATCGCAATCTGAAAATGTGACAAAAGTCGTCACGGTGGAAATGCTCTGCTGAGAATACAAAAAGAAAACATACCTTATTTCCCTGATGTGATAGGATACGCGTTAGATATTTTTAGAACTAGGTTGGAAGTATCTCAAGCTTAGCATCGTGTAGATATATCTTGCTTTTTTCTGGCTTTGGTAAATCTAGTTTTTTTTTCTTCGGACATATGGAACCAGGTATGAGAAACTTGAGGAATGAGTCAAGCAAATATTTGTTGCTGCTTTTAAGGTTGATTTTTCCTGGGGCATATAAAAAAACTTATTTTAAACCAACAAAAAGATCTTGTTGAGTAACACTTGTAAAGTTTTAAGCTGCGTTTCCCACCAAGCCATCTCCAATTACTTGAAAACAAAATTTCCTGTTTATTTTGCTCTTTTTCTTTCCAACCTCAGTGAAAACATGTTTATCACGTTGTAAGGCGGAGCACTACTTCCTCAACAGAAATAGCTTTCGATCGATCTGCATCATCAACAAATCTTTCCCTTTTTTTTTTTCAGAAAAGACAGCCATACTTCTTTACCTGTAGTTCTGTTGCAAGTTACAGGGGCGTGTTGTTACCCAACAGTTTACATACTATTACGAAATGCCACCAAGACAACACATTTAAAAAAAGATTGAGGACCAAGAAAACTAATAACTGAATGGATGCTAGCGCTACAAACGCGGAAGACATTACTACACAAAATAGAGAGGAAATCTAGGTTCAGTACCACGACCTTTTTTGTTATTTGAAAGGTTGTTTTTAATCTCTGTGTCATTTTGGGCTTAACGTTAGAAGTAAAATGACCAAATTTTAACCGTCAGCTATAAAAGCCACCACTCCGTTAAGACATTCCCCCTGGTGTTCTACGAATGCGTGAGGTTATTGGTGATCGAGAAATGGATTAAGAAATGACGGCGGAAGTATTCGTCATTTGACATTTACTGCTACCACACCTTTTTTCTAGCAAAAAAGGAGTCTCACCTGCAAGACACCTGTTAAAAAATTTCATAAGTTTAGCACAATGTACGTTTTTTCTGTCCACAAAAATCCAGGCCATCGCACAGCAAGTAGGAGTCAGTAACCATAGAGAATGAATGTCACCGATTCAGTGATTCAGTTAAATCTAAAGTGGAATTGTGTGTAAAACACATTGATTCAGGGATGATATTGAACGGCTTGAAGCTCAACCAAGATAAAACCGAATTGTTACTCATCAGTTCCAGGTTTCGTCAATCTCCTGTACTCAATTTTTTTGAAGTTGGTGATGAAAAGATTAGCCCAGCTCAATCTACAAGAAATTTAGGAGTGTTTTTCGATCAACATATCTAACAATGGGTGAGCAAGTTAAAAAGGTTTGTCAAGCTTCGAACTATCACCTAAGGAAAATAAGTAAGATACGAAAATATCTCAGTCCGGAAACTGCTGAAATTGTGATTCATGCTCACATTACATCTAAATTGGATATTGCAATTCCCTTCTCTATGGACTACCTGACTATATGGTTAACAAGCTACAGTCTATACAGAACGCTGCTGCGCGAGTTATTACTTTGACAAAGAAATGGGAACATATTACACCTGCGTTAAAGAAACTTCATTGGCTACCTGTTAAGTATCGCATTCTTTTCAAAATACTTCTACTTGTCTATAAAAGTCTACATGGCTTAGCTCCAACTTATATTGCTGAACTGTTGCATCAAAGGAATTATGGTTCTCATGTACTGCGTTCCTCATCACAAATGCTCCTGATGGTTCCAAGAACATTTCGAAAGAACTATTGTGACCGTGCCTTCTCCATTTCTATAAAGGTCTACATGGCTTAGCTCCAACTTATATTGCTGAACTGTTGCATCAAAGGAATTATGGCTCTCATGTACTGCGTTCCTCATCACAAATGCTCCTGATGGTTCCAAGAACATTTCGAAAGAACTATTGTGACCGTGCCTTCTCCATTGCCGGTCCCAAGCTTTAATTAGAACGATTTACCATATTCCCTGAAAACATCTGAATCTGTTGCAATTTTCAAGAAGAACCTTAAAGCGCACCTAAACCCAAAAATTTTTTTTCGCTTAACGAAATAAGCGTATTTTTTGGAGTATTTCTGTGCAAAATTTTTCTTATTTGCTCAAATCTTCAAT